CTGTCCTCAAGCCCCAGGCAGATGTTTTTAGGAAGTCATAATGCCTGGCAATTATTTCAACTCACAGAAAATATTCTCTAAGCAACTTTCAGAGGCTCCATGGGTCATAATGGATTTCTGATATGATGACAATTGCTTTCTGGCCACAAATTATTGGCTCAGTTGGATAAAACATGATGCTTGAAGCTGAAGGCAGAGGCATTGCAGACTCACAGTATAGCTTTATGGCCATGCAGGAGGCCTTGAGCTCCAGCCAGCCTTGGCGATGGACTGTTCTGAGATGGAAGCTTGGGTCTTCCAATGTACAGGAATGAGGCCTGAAGTGAAGCATCTAAATTTTTTGCCTGCTCCTGTGTGAATTCTTTCTCTCTTAAATGGGAATGATAATAACACTTTTCTAAGAGAGTTGTTCAAGTGTCAAATGAGCCAACACAGTGATGCAGTCTTCATGGTACATAGCACATGGCAGCTGCTTCAAAGTGGTAGCTCTCCCCATCCCCTGGAACTGAGGGCTCAGACAACAATGTACAGATGCTCTGGGCTCTCACAGGGACAGAGAGAGGAACAGTGCCAAAGGAGAATCTCTTCCATGGAGGATCAGAGTGCTCACTTTGTGTGTTCATAGAGAGAAGGCACATGAACCCCTGTTGCTTGGAAACAGATCCAGAAGGTAGCCATGCAGATGCCTAAATTAGAGATGTGTGAATTCAGGGCAGGGCCAGAGCTTTTAGGGACTCAGGGTCATTAAACATGATTCAGGTCCAGAGGCAATGTGATGATGATGCAGAACCCAAGTGTGCTGTCTGGCTTATGGGCCAAAGGTGTCCTGTTGCATTGCAAATTAAGGAACCAAAAGCCTCTGAGATGAGAGGAAGCAGGGGGCAGTGATGGGGAGTGCAGAGCTGTAGCACTGGCCATGTAACCCCTTTCTGGCCATGTAACCTCTAGCAAGTCATTGAGTAGTTTTTGCCTCAGTTTCTTTTTCTGTAAGCTGGTGGTACCTGTAGAATTATAGTAATAATTAAATGAGAAGCATGTTTAGTACTTGCTAAGCAAGTGTAGTTAGAGTTTTCAAAAGAATAGATTTAATACAGGACACATAATTTATCAAATTATAATATTCACCCAAAAAGTCAAATACAGAAGAGCACAAGTGATCTGTGCATGCACTAGAGACCAAAGACTCCATCTGAGGGCCTGGATCCCATGGCAATGTCCTGCACGAGTCCAGCTGGAGGCCAATAGCCTATATCAATGTTTCATACAAGTCTGTATCAAGGATTTAGAAGGTCCAAATATCAGTGGTGGAAGCTAGCAAGTCTGCACCAGTGGGATGAAGGGTCTGTGCCAACAGGCTGAAAAATCTGCAGTGGAGTCAGGAAGCGATGCTCAAGGTAAGGACTAGAGGTCTTGGAAAAGAACTCCAGCCATCCTTGGTGACAGCAAGGACCTGAGCTCCTCCGACAATGACCACTGAGTTCATAGCAAGAAAAACAGTGTAACAAGCTTCTCCAGGAGAATCAACAGTACCTTATCTTCCCCTCCAGTTCTTTCTTTATGCTGTTGGCAACAATCCTCAGGTGGATCATCCACACCCGGAACCATGTTGATTCAGTTCAGCCGGAAGTTACAAGTGGCTCCATTGGTTAATCCACCAGAGCAAGCCATGCTTAATATCATTCCATGCCATTACTGTGAATTATGTGAGGCTCTGGACACCTCCAGGACTTGCACACCTTGGTCCCCTCTGAGTTCACATTGAGTTCCCTCTGGCCTCTGGGCGAAAATCTGTGTCCACACTCACCACATTGTCTCATCAGCATTGGTTTGTGTTTGTCTCCTCTTTGTGTTTGCATTTCAGTCAGGGAAGGCCAGCTCTGGTCCATCGTAGGCAGTCAGTGGGATTTGTCCAACAGGTACAAGACAGCTTGTTGCATGGCACTGTTGTCAGGTGCTCCTACTGCTGTTTGACCTTGAGATGTTCACTTGCCATCCCTGGGACTCGATCATCTCATTTAGAAGATGAAGATATTAATTTTAATAATCCCCAGCTTAAGGAATCTGATTTTCTGATTCTACAAATTTTATTTCATGACCCTGATCTTGTCCCCAACTTGTTAGGGGACAATGGCTGCTGGGATTTCTTTTTCTGGGGAAGAATGGAGAGTACAGTAAAGGATGCTAGCCAAGGGCCCAGAAGGCCTCTTGGGGGTTCCTAGCAAGTGACCAGAATGAAAGAGAGGATGGGGCAAAGTCAACCCTTCTCTAGGTCTTGACTGCATTTTGTTAGTCTTGACTCTACAAGGATTAGCTATCACTTGGAAAATAATTCTTATTTTTTGAGACAGGGTCTTTCTATGTAGTTCACACTGGCCTGGAGCTCACAGCAGTCTTCCTGCCTCAGCCCCCAAGTGCAGAGATTGTAGGCATGTGTCACAACTGCCAATGTGGGAAATTATTTTGATAACTGAGAGGAAATGGAATTAAGGGTACTGGCTGCAGGCTTGTAGGTCTCATCAGGTGGGTGGTAAAGTTGTGTCTGCTCCCTGCCTGTTTGATTAGGTCCCCTCAGGCCACTTGGCATAGGGTCTCTGGGGAGGTGACTTGGGAGACATAAATTCTGATGGGTCTGCAATGGAGAAGACCTGGGAGGTGTCGGCAGAGGGTGGGCGAGCTTCTGCTGGACGGTAAGTGCTGGGAACTGAGTGCATTCTGAGTGCAGAGAGCTGTGCCCTCAGCTGAGATCCCACTACTAGGCAGTCTCAGCTGTCACTCACTTGTCATACTATGTGGAGGCCTCAGTTTTCTTAGAGAGGAAATAATCCCAGAGGGCCATGGAAGTGTCTTGGGAGCTTCGCAACCCTGTAGGCTCATGAGTTTCTAGTCATCACTTCCTGGGGCTGCAGACCACAGAGAGCATTGATTTCCACCCCCATGGAGAAAATGGTGGCCCAAAGAATTCAAAGTAGTGATGGTAAGAAATGTCATCCACTTTAGGCTTGCTGCATGGGCTCCCCAGGCTCTTCCCCTTTCTGAGATATCTACTCTCCAAAGGTGCCAACGATGTGGTCAGAATGTGTAGGCTATGTAGTTCTGGCAGAGCTGTGTCACACACTCGTAGACCCCTAACAATTCAGGCGGGCCCTTGCCCCAACCTGTCCCCTGCATTGAAGGCAGCCAGAAGTGGTTGCTGTTGGGGCCTGGCCACAGGGAAGATTCCGCAGGTCAAGGAAACTCAGAACGTGTCCATCTGTTTTGCTAGCCACCTGCTGCATGGCATAGCAAATCCTAAAGATCTCTTGAAGAATCCAGACATGCAAATGGCTGTGGAGAGATGGGAGCATCAGGCAGCAGATCTGATGTCAGGGAAATGTTTGCAGGCCCGGGAGATGCTTCACTGTCTGTTGCTTCTCCCCATTGTTGCTGCTGATAATGGTAAACAATAAAGAGAAAAAGCTCTTCTAACTTTTAATAAATTAGATTCCCAGACAGTAGGGGGCAGTGGTGACAAGACTGACACCACTTAAAAAAAATAATGAGATAAATAAAACAATTAAAAGTAACATAAATAAAATTGAAGTAGTAAAAATAAAGAAAAGCCCAACAGGTGATGCAAACAGGCATGTGAGGCAGAGAACCAGGGCTGAGACACAGCGAAGTGTTCCCCCATCACTGACGGAAGACAGTTTCTGGGCCACTGATGAACCTGCTCTAGGCCAATGAGCTGACACTGGTGAACTGGAGAGAATGTGCCTCAGTTTATAACAAGAGAAAACTGAGTTAGGTCCATGAAAGTGGCTTCAGCTCCAGAAGGCTCCCAGTGAATACGGAAGACAGACTAGGGACACTGCTATGCAAAGGGCCTATGAGACTCCAGCCACAGGACTGGGGCCAGTGGGAGTGGCTCAGGTGGACAGGAGAGATTTGGAGGCTCAGGGATGGAGCTGGATGGACATGGCTGTCACTGGTCTTGACACTAGGTAAGTCCCTGTCCTTCCTCACCTGTGACCTGGGGTAAAACCCTTGGAGTAGGGTAAGAGCTGGCCAGCCTGGTTGCATTTGTGTGTGACAGTGAGTGTGGAAGACCCTCCCAGCCAGCTGGGGAGTGACTAGAGGAAGATCCCGTATTCACACCAGGATAGGGGCTTCCTCACCCCAAGAATTGGGAAAGCTGCTAGTTTCCAGTGCCATTGAGAGGGAGGGATGGGGGGATAGGCCTCATGAATGAGAACTGCTTTGGGGGAGAAAGGGAAGAGGAGAGGGCACTAAGGAAAGAAAATATAGCCTCATCTTCATGTTTATGTTTCTTGTGTTTTAGATGCCGACTCCTGGCATATTTTTAAATGCATCAGACATGAAAGGCTGATTTAAATAGACTCACAGTGTGAAGCTGGTAATTTCACTTGCCACAATAGAGAAGCTGGCAGGGCCCTGGCGGGTACTCAGCACCTGTGCGCGCGCCAGGGAAGCTGCAAGGCGTGAAGCGCTCTGGGAAAGGCTTGCAGCAGGTGCCTCCAGCCTAAGATGGGGACCGCGAGGGAGAGAGGTGGAGGCAGGAGGGGGGCTGAGAGAGCAGTGCCCACCTCCTGTCACCTCACTCAGGGCTCTGGATGGGCAAAGTGCACTGGGGGCCTGGTAACTCACAAGGTCCGCTTCTCACCGGCTTCCATAAAAGCAGAGTGTGTGGGAGCTCACCCTCCGTTTCCACCCCAGCCAACCTGATCCATTGCTCAGTGCTGCCCCAGAGAAATTCCCCTGGGGTAAACTGTAGTCCCTAGGTTCAATATTCCCTACTTCTGTCTCTGGCCCTGTAAGCCTTTTAGCACAAGCTTAAAGCCAAAGTCAGCCCTCCTCCTTGCACAGAGACCTAGGTTCCCCTTCCACTCTTTAACATACTTTACTGCAGTGCAAACCTCTGCAAAATCAACATAGTTTGAGGCACTTGTTAATGTATTTCTTGCCATAGTCAATGCAACAGAATTCCAGGAACAACAAGAGACTTTCATTATTTGGTTTTTATTCAGCACACTGTCATAGTTGCTCTGGAGCCAGGACGGCACTGCTGTTGGGATTCAGGGCATGAAGATTCTGTTTTACAAGGAGTTTGTCCACAAGTGGCATGCGGCCAACTCCCCAAGAGAAGTACATGCATGGGCCAGGCAGAGTGAGCACCAGGAGTGCTGAGCACTTTCTGGGCAGAGTCCAGCCTGGGAGAGGGGAGGCTGTGGGTGTCATGTACACCTGGTACAGTGGGTTTCCAGGAGTTTGCTGCTCTCAAGTGCCCTGCAGTTCCCAGGGCTAGAGATCAGGTTGTCTTCCTTCTCACCTGTGCCCTTGGATGTGACACAAGGCCAGGGTGGGGCTTCCTAATTGCTGGGGATGGAAGAAAGTCAATCCTTCCTTCCTTCATGAAACATGAATATTTTTGTGCTTTTCTACTTTATTTCAGTAAAAGATGCATAATATTTATAATTTTAACCATTTAAAAATTTACAAGTACATTCATGATACCATGTGCAGCCTGCCCTGACTACCACTATCCAGCTCCAGAACTTCTTCACTATCCCAATGTGGAAGTGTTTTATAAACTATGTATACCAAGGTGGGCCAGTCAAGAATGCATGACCTAATGACTTCACTTCATGCATCTGCCCCACTCAGCATTTGTTCTGTAGGTCATATGGTAGATACAAATATGGAGACCGCAACCCTGATGGTAAGACCTTATAGTCTGTGTGACACTGGCACCTCATGCAATGCCAAATCATTGTGGAGAGAAAGCAGGAAATTCTCTAGCTTGAAGAAATGCAAGTTTTGCTCATTCTCTTCCAAAGGGGAAATGGGAGGAGCGTCTACCTTTGGCCTTAGCTTCTCCCAGTTACTGAGAAATGTAGATTCTCTCTTTATCCTACTGTGTTTGGTTTGGTTTCCTGTGTAGGGAGACATGATGAGTTAATAACTATCATTTGCACTGTGTCTTTCAGTTGACTTGGCTCTTTCCCTGAGGTCCCCACTGTGAGAGCAAGGCTGGGAGCGCTCTTGTGCAAATGAGGAAGTGAGCTCAGACACCCAGCCAGTCTAGGCCTTGCACAAAGTCACACAACTTTCATGCAGGTCCTTATTCTGAGCAGGTCTTGGGGACCAGAGAAAGCTTTTGGGAGAGGGACAATGGGGTATAGGGCTGGTTCCACACCAAGAACAAAGAGAAATGGGCCAGAAAACATCTTCTGGGCACAGAGGCAGGGAGCTCAAGCAAAATTGAGTTGTTGAACAGCCTGAAGGTAATGATTGCCACTGGCAGCAGCTGGGGAGGCTGTGGGCAGGGCTGAGATGGAAGGCTTTGATGGGCATCACGCTGTCTGAGAGGCAATGGAATCACAGCAGCCAGAAGGCTCCCCAGTGTGCTGCTGTAAAAGCTAGAAGAAGCACCTCATTTGAACCATCGAAGCAAACTCCATGGGTCTGCCCAGGACAGGGGCACAGCAGAACAGCCTCTGGGACCTAGGCTCCAGAGGTGCAGTTCTCCCAGGGGATGAGCCTTGTTCTCCAGAAATGACACTTGGCCTTCAAATGCTCCCATAAGGCAAAGACAACTTGCTAGGCACTGGGCCAAACAAAAAGCCATGGATATGGTTGCTCCTGCTCTCAGGACCTTGGTCCAGGGCCTTTCATTCCCCAAGTCCTTTAAACAGTATGTAGGGATTAGCACCATTACAGAGTAGCCTGGGAGAGCCGGGACTACACCCTGGCACTCTGCCCTTGACCTAGTGCTGCACCTCCACAGTCATGTTTCCCTGATTCATTCTGAGTTCACACTCACATGTTTCAATTATTGTTTCCAAGTTGAAAAAATAACGATCCTATTCTGTCTGTGTTCTTTTGCAACTTCTGCTTGATAGTGTAGTCTTCTATTTATTTGTATAGGGCAGATGGATCCAGTCATAATTCACTGTGATAGCACAGGTCTTGCTGATTCTAGGAGTCCTCATTTGTAGGGAGAGGAGTCTCCCAGTGCTATGACAAGGGTCTACAATCACCACCTCTAAATCTGAGCCAAAGTCTCCATGAGGTCCTAGCTTGGAGAAAGGGTCAGCTTAGACCTGACTCAGCTCTGGCCCCAGGATGATAAATGGTGCAACCCTGTCCAACCTTCTCAGCTCCACATGGCTTTCAGGTCCTCGGCCAACCATTGCCTTGCGTGGTCTCCCAGCCCCCTCAACTCCCAGCAATGTTCTCCTAAGTAGGGCACTTTGATTAAATTGGCTCCACTGAATTGTGTGAACAGTGGAGTTATGATGTTCTTTGTTATTGCTGTTGCTGGTAATTAATATGTCCATGAATAGAAACACCAACAGAGGTAGGAAAGTGGGTATGGGAGGTTCACACTGCATTTCTATCCTGTCAGCCACTCCTCACTATAAAGAGGGAGGAAATGACCAACAAGGTCAAATCCTGTGGATTCTGACTGGGCCTGGCTGGGCTTTGGGTAGCCTCTTTCTATTTCCCAGGAAGAGGAGAAGGAGGAGGAGGAGGAGGAGGAGCTGACCACCCTTTGCATGAGTCCTGGAAGCCAGGCAGGGGTTTGGTCCCAGCAGAAGCCCAGGACATTGGGTTTTGGGTTTTTCATGCATGTGTACTATAATTTCATTATTTGGGAGTAAACTGCCTTTTACTTTTCAAGCTTCAGATCTGACTTCCACACTGGATGTCTGGATTCTTAGGAGTCTTGTGTAAGGGTTTCTGGGCTCCCCTTGCTTGCCCAAGGAACTGGGCACCTCCTTGGGCACCTCAACTCCACTGGTCACCCAGAATGATCTCAATCCCAAAGACCCCTTCCACTTTCCATTTCAGAAGAGAGGAGAGACTCTGGAGAGGAGGCCGGTGGCAGAGATAAGGAAGGAGACTGGCTCCTAGCTGTGTTTTGTGGCGTATAAGGAAGGAAGAAGACTTAAGCCTTTAAATCTAAGCTATTTTAAATACAGCTAAAGACTTAAAGGAAGCCATGTCTAAAGAACTAGAAAAAAGGATGAAAATAGAGACTTGCAAAGAAGAGACTGTTAATAAAGACTAGAAAATTATAATGAGGAACCCAACAGAAATTCTGGAGTCTAAGGTATAATAAATAATGGAAATGAAAAATTAACTTAAATTTACATAAAATTCATATTTGATCAGGTAGAAGAATCAGTGAATTTTAAAGTAGGTCAATTGACATCAGATGAAGAACACAAACAAAAATGAATAAAAATAATGAGCAGAGCCTCAGTAGCCAGTGGAGCACTATTGAGAATGCCATCTATGCATAATGAGAGCCCAAAAGGAAAGGGAAGAGAGAATATGGTAGGTAGAATATTTGAAAAAAATGACAAAAGCTCTCCCAATTTGGACTATTAATCTACCCATCAAGAATCTCAACACACACCAAGAGAGATAAATTCAAAAGAAATCCACAGCTGGAAACATCAAAAGCAAAGAGCTGAAAGCCACACACAAAGAGAGAAGCAACTCATCACATACAAGGGGCCCTCAGTAAGAATAATGGTTAATTTCATGTCAGAAACCAGGGAGGCCAGAAACACTGGGATGCACAGTCTAAATGCTGGAAACAGATGTCAACCTAAAACTCTATAGCTAGCAAAAATAACCTTGAGAAATGCAAGATAAATTAAGACATTCACAGCTATACAGAAACAGAGAGAGTTTATCTATAGCAGGTCTGCTCTTGTTACAGCTTTTGCATAGATGCCCCCCTAAAACCTCACGTGCTTTTAGGTGGGGCTTTTTGGAGGTTGCTGAATCATGGGTATGTGGTGCTGGGAGATTAAGGTTGTATGGTAATGAAGTAGTCTACTGATTGGTTTATCCCAGTTCTGGATATGGAATGGTACAACCCAAAAAGATTAGCCTGATGTGATAAAAGGGAAAGAGAGGTTTGCCCTGCACTGCTCTGCAGCCTTCTGCCTGCTCTCTGTGAGGCCCTTCTGCCGTGGCACCCTGCCTTGGAGCCACCTGACTGCACTGAAACCTCACTGTGAGCTGAAACTAATCTTTCCTCCTTTAACTTGTGGGCCTTGAATATTGTGTCTTAGTGATGAGAAAAGTAACCACGACAGCCCTTCAAGAAATACTAAAGGAAACCAGTCCTTCAGGCTGAGATGAAAAACCACAAGATAATAATCCAAGTTGACATGCAGACATCAAGAGCACTAGTAAAATCAATTGTATAGTTAAATATAAAAGATAGTATAATTTTTTAAAAAACTCCTTTGTTCTCTACCATTAAAAGACAACTGAATACAACAATAATTACACATCTATGTTGATAGGCTCAGAATGTGTGAAGATGTAATTTGTGACAACAGTATGAGGCAGGGAAAATGAAGCCTTAGAGGAGCAACTTTTTTGTGTATTATTGAAAATAAGTTGCTATTAATCCAAACAGATTGCTAGTAAATTGAGATATTAATGGTGATCCTCAGGGTAGTCACCAAGAAAACAGGTAAAAATGTACAGTTAAAATAAAAGATTAAAATGGCTCACTAGAAGGTACCTATTTAATACAAAAAGTAGTAATGGAAGAATAGAGGAATAAAAATGATGGGTAGAAAATAAACAGCAAAACAGCAGACATAAATCCTGCTTGTCAATTGCGTTAGATGCAAATAAACTTTCCAATTAGAAGAGAAATTGGAAAAACAGGCTTTAAAAATGATCTAACTGTATGCTATCAACAACAGATTCAATTTAGATTTAAAGACACATATTTGTGTCAGCCTATTGGCTGGAAATAAAAGAATGTAAAAAATGCACTATGCGAACAGCAACAAAAAGTGGCTATTGTAGTACAAGGCAGAATGGAATGGGCTTTAAAACAGAAGTTGTTAATTCAACAGAGGGTGCTTCATAATGACAAAGGGCTAAGACATCCCAGAGATGTCACAGGGACAAGCATATCTGAATGCAAGCAAGAGTCTCTAAATGCATGAAGCAAACAAAGGTCTGATGAAAGCAGACAGCTTTGTCTTAAATATGTAACCTTCATGATCACTGTAGTGTTTAATATTTAACCCTATGGACTCTTCATTTGGGTTAGTTTTGCGTCACTTAGAGTTCTTTGTTAACATACAAATACTGCTCTGGAGCTACTATTTGTGTGAAATACCTCCTCTGGGATTGGTTTAAGATCCTTCAGAAGGGTGACTGTTTGGGACAGGAATGAAGGTTCCAGGTGTTCTTGATGGAGCACATAAGTAGGCCCCGGTGTGGACCCAGGAGAGCAGGGACCCCAAGACTGAATGCAGGTCCTAAGAGTAGGGAATTAATACAGGATGGAAAGGGAGAACTGGGGTGTCACTCTAAGACCTTAAGGAGACTGCAGGGAAGCACATGTGAGATGCAAGGTAAGCCCAGGCATTGATTTGGTGCTGGAGTTCTTGAACTGGCGACGCTGGGCCAAAGGCAGCAGCAGACCCCAAAAAGAGCATAAGAAGCCATGCTGGCGGAGCAGGGGCAAGGCTTGGCTGTGAGCAAGAGTACTGGCCACTCACAGGTAAATAGCCAGGGCCAGCACCAGCTCTGAGCTGCTGCCTGAGTCTTGGACAAGGTGAGGAGTGGATCAGAGCTGAAATCAGACAACAAGTTCTGCCAGGATATCGGCACTGACAGGAAAGCCAGGAATGAAGGGCATGAGGCCACGTGGTGAGGTCAGACCTGAACCCAGAACCTTGCAAATGGGTCAGGCAGAGAGATGCTCAAGAGAGGTGGTCTCTGTGAACAGGCTTGTTTCAGATAGATGCTTGCTAAGTGTTAGCTGGTTCTCAATCTAAAACCAAAGTAAGGCAAGCAGACGGGGCAGCAACTCAGTGCTGACCAAACAAACATAGACCCTGCTTCTCAGTACCTATGAGGTTCTGGGCACTGTGCTAAGTACTTTACATCCATTACTTCCTGTAGCACTCTGGATGTCATGGGGATAAAAACACCCAGTGTACAGGTGAGTGGACAGCTTGGTTAGGTGACTGGCTTGAGATCTTCACAGCAATACAAGTGGGACAGAACCAGAAGGTTGTTCCAGGCATCCTGCCAGCCCCTGGGCCAGGGTGACCTCTGGGTTGACTCTGGTCGACCTAGTGGCTAAAATGAGTCAGATGAGGGGACAGGGGACTTCTCGGAGTTCTCCTGAAACATCAGCTCTCCACTCTCCTACAGTGAGGCTACAGAAGAAGGAAGCAGAGGCCTCCTTGGAGGCCTGGCCTGGGGACACTCCCTGTGGTCTCCTGAAATTGGTGGAGATCCTCTTACACCATCTTTCTCTGCCAGGCCTCTGAAGAGTGCTGGCATTTGCTCTCCACGCCAGAAGCCTGGCAGCAGGGTTGTTCCACTTTATAAATGGAAAAAACCCGTGAAGGCACTTTACTAATGGGGAAAATGAAACCTGAGGCAGGGATAAGGCAAGGGGATAAAGGTGTCTGAGGACTTAGAGAGCCCCAAGTGGACTCTGCTTACCTGTAATACCAGTTCCATCTGTTTGGTCAGAAGCAGAGGAACTGACCTATTCTAAGACCATCTTGCCTTCCACCTGCCCTACACACACACACACACACACACACACACACACACACACACCTACATATCCTTTCTTCAAGGGGCCACACCCCACCGTGAGGCAGTCACCACTGCCTTTCCCTTAGGGAAGGAGTTCCTTGAAAGTTCTCTCCAAACTTGTACAAGGGACCTAGGGTCAGTCAGTGAAGGAAAATGATTACACCACCATCAGTATCTGAGCAGGAAGCTCCCAAGTGAAAAGAGCCTGGTGAGGCGGGAGCCTGGAGGGAACACTCCAGACCTTTAGACACTCTGTGCCTCATGGGTCTCTGGTTTTTGCAAGTGTGGAGGGAGAAAAAAAGAGGAAGTGGGGAGAGAGATCTGCAGAAAGGAGATGCCACTTGCCTGGTGACCCACTGGGGCTGACGTTTTCTGCAGTCTGAAGAGGAGGCTTGGAAATACCCCTAGGAACTCTAGCTAGCAGCTTCTTCTCTCCCTGTCTGGCTGTGTGTGGGCTGTCTTTGGCCAGCTGCTTGGAGCCGTGACCTTGGGACACTTCCCGCTGTCTTCTGCTCAGTGTGCTCTGACACTGGGGCCTAAACCACTCACCTTGCTGGGGGTACCTCGGCAGGGATCTTATGATTTTTTTTATCTGGCTTCTTACCCAGGACAAGAATGAATGCCCTTGCCTGCACCTGACGTCCATCCAGTGATCCTGGGGCACTCTAGTGCTAGAACTTCCCCTTCTCTCGTGAAAGGAATCTCACGGGGACCCAGATCTTTCTGTCCGAGCAGCCTGTGCCAAAGCCAGCAGCTACACCTTAGTCACCTTCCAAACACCACTAAAATGCCGACATTACAGCCACATTAAAGAAAAGCATACTCTCCTGGAAAAGGAAAATAATATAAAATGAATTTGGTAACTACGGCCTTGGTGCTAGGCCACACTGCCTGCATATCAGTCTCCTCCATTAATCATCATGCATGATTCTTTGAGTTATTCTGAGGCACATTTAGAACACGGCTTTATATAGCTGTCTATACCTTACTTATACCCTCCAGAGATGGTTGTTCCCTTTAGCAGCAGATGGCTTTTCCCCTTGTTTTCATCTCTTAGTCAGAGTTAGGTAGGAAGAAAGCTGACTCCCTAACTCCAGACATAAATTGTCACCCTTGGCTTGCCCTGGAGTCAAGGATGTCACTAGGGATGGGCAAGAAAGGCTGTGGGTTCTCTGGGAGGCACTGTTCCACAGACCCAAAGGGGGACAATTCATGAATGTGGTGATCACCAAGAGACTGCTCTGAGGCTTGGGATGGGGGAAGGGCGGAACCCTGAGTGATTTTCTTCTTTCTGTTCAAGTCTGTCAAGGTCTATGAAATGTGTGACAAGAGTACCCCCTTTGACCTCTGGAGAATAGGGGTCAAAGGAAGAGCAACAAATTTGGCACATCTTTGGCCTCCAGGAAGCAGCAAGTTGGCCCTGCACAGTTGCCATGGCAACCAGAGCACAGAGCTCCTAAGGGCAAGGGGAGAAGGGAGGAGGAGGAGGCACCTGATGGTTTTTCTGGCCCACCTGTTTCTTTCCCCCAGGAAACCAAGCTGGAGGGGAGGGGGGAAGAGTGGACACTTGGGATCTAGAAGAGATGCTTGAGAGCAGCACTGCTGATCCATTTGCTTCCCTTCCTCTGGGGGAGGCAAGTCCCCAACAAAGACAGAGGTCTGGGTGAGCCCTGCCAGGGGCGGAGGAAGTCCAGTCCTCTCTGAGGCCTCCTGTCATCTGCAGCAGGATTTCTTCTTGGTGGGGCGGCCAACCTGAATGATGTCCTCTCTCACTATGTCTTCCTGTTCCTTGAGGAACCTGGGGGAAGGGGAGAGACAGTGTTCCCATGGAGAATCTGCTAGGCTCAGGAGCCCAGCACCCTCAGAGCCAGGCCTCCTGAGTGATGCAGAAAGCACCCACAGAGACTAAGACAGCACTGAATGCCCCCCACCCCCTGCACCCAGGGTGTGACTAATGCTACGGCCACAGCTTAGTCAACACGGATCCTTCAGGACACCTCTTCCATGAAGCCTCCCCAGCTACTCTCTTGTTGACCCAAGTGTCCCTGGTTGCACTCTGACCTTTGGTGCTTGTATTCTACCTCTCAGCATCAAGGTGCCTTCTCCTCAGCTTTATCTCTCAGCAGAGCATGAGCTGCTTAAGGGCAGAGACAGTGCCTTTGTCTCTGAGCCCCATGTCCTATTGCAGTAACTGGCACGCAGGCTTGTGGCTTATTCATAGTTAACTTCCCAGGCTTGAGCCACGTGGCCACAGATCCAGATTAAATGTAGGAGGCAAGGGATTTAAAACAATGCTAAGTATCTTATCCTGCTTTATGTTTTCACAGCTTTATGTTATCACCATATGCCCTTCCCCCAACCTTCACAAGCACCCAGCTGGGCAGGAAAGGTCAGGTTGGTGTTCTGGCAGGCCCAACAAAGCTCTCTGAGTCTGTGTCAGAGAAGATCCCAGAACTGTCCCCCGTAACCCTGACCTCTCCACTGCACACAATTGTTTTCTTAACTTTTGGTTAGACAGGGTCTTAAGGAACAAGTCTCTCTGTGTGACTAGTTCTTCGAGCATCCTAACTGGCGACCTCTGACTGATTCTCCTTCCTAGCCTTGCCTCCTCCTCTCCTCAGAACAACACTTACTCCCAGCTGACTGCTTACTAATGTCTGCTAAGACACTAGGTACCGTGTTGAGGCACCTCTGAGAGAAACTTTCCTAGGTGGAGTCCTTGCAAAAACACCACCTGTCAGACTCAGAAGATGGAGGAGAGTGACCAGCAGGGAGCTTCTTTATTATCACTGCTGGGCTTCGGAAGGCTGCTCCTGATGGCTGACATCCCACACAGAGGTCTGGGCCACCCATCCTGGATTCAGAGTGCTGGAGCACACAGGGAGGAGGCCCAGGGACATAGTCTGGGCAGAGGGGATGTCATGCGTCTACCAGGCCTGGCACAGCTAGGCTCAGCATGTCCCTTGGCCTTGTGCATGTGTCTCTTTACCTGGCGAGTTGGAGCAGGGACTCTTTGGTGTTGTGACCGGAATAGGCACTGCATTCATAGAAGATCAGATTGTTCTCCTGGAATCATAAAACCGGAATTAAGAGCAGGGTACTGGGGGAGTTAGAGGAACCTGACAGGGGGAGTGCCTTGGCTGCCTCTTTCTAAGCCCTCACCTCGTCTCACAGACCCTTTGACTCCTAATCCCTGTCCTTCCTCTGGCTGCGGCAATTTTCTGGCCCCTCAGCTCCCTGTCTAATGCTCATTCTGTAAGCATCCCCGGGTGAGCCATAATGATCATAAGAGAGCCTTGCACAGCCTGGTTCATACTGGCTCCACTTGCAAGAATGTGCACACTTGTTTCAGAGTCTCAGAAGCCTGGGATACAGGCCAGAGACCCAAGGGCCTGCACAGTCTATATTCTTCCAACTTCCCAAGTGAAGAAACTGAGGCCAACCCTGCACATGGCTGAGCTGCTCTGGTCACACAGTTAGTGAATGGCAGGGCTTGTGGCAGCATGCTTTGCACAGGACCCTGGAGCTCTTATGGGTCCTGGTGGATGTTACAAGCCCTCGAGTTGGATTTTTTTTCAGGCCAGATGATGACTATTCTAGCTGCCCAGGCTATCAGTGTTGGCACATGAGACAACTGTCCCTCACTGTATTATGCGGTGGCTGTGCTGTGTGCACAGGCCCTGGGCCAGAGCTCACTGTAGTGCATTTATCACTTTCGATTAGATTGCTCACTCTGTGATAGCACTGCTGATGGCACCAGCTCCTGCTTGGAGATGCTGTTTCCTCAGAGGTCGATGTCTTGTGGGCATGGAGCCATCTGAGTGAGGATACTTCGGCAGTCATGGTTCAAACTGTGGCTTGCATGTCTAGCTGTCTCCATGCACAGCCACAGCCCTGCGCAGCCTCTGCCCCTTCACGTCCTTGTGTGAGCTGCGATCCAGCCCTGACTCTGTCAGACTTACTGGTGGGTGGGGGCAGGAGGGTACAGGACCCACTGGGAGACAGGACTGCTGATCCCACCACTGGTGAGCTGAGACACTCAACTACCATCTCAGTGTTTTTCTCATGGATTGAAAGGAGAAAAAGAGAAAAGAAAATGGGATAATAATAAAAACACAGGTCTGCTTTTCTTCAGCTAAAATCTTTGGATCTACATGTCCCTGGGAATTCAAAATTTTTTTAATTATAGAAAGGTAACACATATGTTATATCTTGTATATTATATAATACCCTCAGAAGGTCTGGGATGCCACTCTATAATCAAACACATTCATACTTCTTCAGTGAAATACTTCAGTGTTCACTCTAAATGCAGTTAAAAATGCAGTCTTGTGTCAGACTTTGCGATCAGACTTTCCTGCCAAATAAAATATACAAGGACATTTCTGTCTTCAGGGCATTTGGATCTCGGAACTACAGACACATAACCACTCGATGACCTGCCACACAGATACCTGGAAGCCTTTCTCATCTTTGTCCTTGAATGTCATTGTCTGTGATCTTCTCCGAGGCTCTAATGAGCCAAACTCTCTGAGTAGGGTGAATGCAGTAAGGACTGTAGAATTGCAAGGTGGTGAGCACCCATCTACACAGCACCATGAAAGAGAAACCTGAGAACAAGCTTTGTCTTGCTGTCTGGTTTCCTCCAAGCCCTAATGGTCCATTCTTGGCTAGAGGCTGATGCTTATTTTAACGGTAGGTTTTCCAGTGCCTCTCAAGTTTATCTTGAGTTCACACCTTCAAAGCAATACCTTGATTAAAACAGTGATTCTCTAGCAGAGTGGCCCAAGGAGGAACACTGTTTTTCATCCTTAAAGGTAATCAAATACAAATGCCAATGATACAGAGAGGAATTCTGTGTCCCAAGGAACAAAGTTTAGAATCATTTCCCACATCTAGTGGGTTCCAAACAACTCCATCTTGTGACCTGTGTCTGTCTTCAGGCTCAGGAGCCAGGACTATCTGGGAGTTCCCACCCTGTCCGGAGAGAAGAAAGGCTGCTGCTTTACCTTGGCAAGTTGCTCCCCCAGGCCTCGGGGAACTTCTCGCTCCTTCTCATTGTCAAGTTTATTGCCCAGCAGAAGAACAGGAACACGGCCTCCCATAGCTTCCTGCAGAACAGATAATCCCCAACTGAGAAAAGCTTCCATAAGGAGAGCCCAGAAGGGCAGACTTAAAATGTTGGCTGCAGTGGTAAAATCTGGTTTGCAAGTCTTCTGCTGCCACATAGGACAGAGCGCCACCTCTTCTAAAAGCTTCGGGTTACCACACTTTGGCGTGGTGCCTTAGGCCTCTGCCTGCCTCCTAGTCCTCATCAGGGCAAGAACCACTTCCCTCTGGGCACTTTTCTGGGTTCTTAGAAATACCAGGAAGTGTGTATGGGGGTGTGGGGGGATGGACAATGGACACCGATTAACACTATGTCCTTTTCTAGTGCTTACAGTGTCCCCTGTGGCATTCTCAAGCCACTATGCTTGTGGAATGAACCAAGGAAATTAGCGTGGTTTGAAACTCTTCTACAGAATGCTTGGCTTCGAAGCAGCATCTCCAGAGGCCTCCTGTTGGCACACAGTCTCCATGAGGGCTTGATCAAATCTGTCTCACCGTATGCGGCCCACAGAACTCCATAAAGCACTGCTGAGTGCCTAATTGGAGGTGGGCACCACAGACCTGTGCCACTGGGAGCCTGGGCTCTGAAGGCACAACCCATGAGGCCACAGCAGCTGCCTTTGCTGGGCGCAGGCTCCCTCCCAGCAGGACTGGTTCTGTTTACTCCTGCTCAGCTGGGACACGTCAGCCAGGGGCCTGCATCCTGGAGTCTCTGCCCCTTCCTGCAAAGGGGGTGAAACACGCGCCTTTTTGCAGGGGAACAAAGGGCCCGGGACTGGCAGCTATTCAGTGTGCAAATATGGTAATGCTCATATTTAAAAGGGCTGTTATTTTTACTTTGTGAAATATTTAATTAGGAGCTTTTTATCATAATTTGGTAACGAATAGTTATTCGTTGTAGCTAAATGTTTTACTAAATAAAAAGGGCTGTGGAATAACAGAACCTTACAAGCAGTTAGTATTGCTAATACTTTAGCTATTTTACCTCAGAACTTCAAATAAATGTCTCAAGTCCACCTGACAGGAATGCCTATTTTAAATTTAAATGCAATTACCTTTATAATTAAAGCCTCAATGTTTCCTTGATCTGTACATTTATTTTTATTGCAGTTCAGTAGTAAGAAAAAAATTCTCATTTACTAAATGAGAACATTTGGTTCAGAGAACCCAAAAGAACATTCAACAACAAAGTCACTAATGTCTGACGCTCTGTAAGCAAACCAGTCCACAATTCTCCACTCAATCCATCATCTGGATTCTTATTTCCTGGCTACCTAGCATCTTATTAAATAGAACTCCCTAAAAATGGTATCCATTGCTAAGATGGGAATTAATGTTTTTAATGGTGACTCAAAGCTCCTACAAGATCTTGCTGTGTCTTCAGACCTACTGACAATAAATTATGTGCAAGGTGGTTGATGTGTCTAGTAGGTTGCGAGTGAAGAACTCACCGCTGTGGCTCCCTATTAGCCAGAGTCTGCTAATGGGACTCTCCCCATTCTCTGAGCCAGGTGACTGATACTTCTGCGAAGAGTTTCTCACAGAAAAAGAAGAAAAGAGGAGGAAGCAGGGAACTGGGCCAAAGGCTGGCTGTTTAGAGCACATGAGAGAGAGCTATTTGTATACTGATGTGTGAGAAATGACTAAGGCTTGTGGGATTTCTTGACATGGAAACTCTCTGAAAATATGAGCATCAGACTTGAAATCTCAGGATAGAATTCGAGCCCTATTTTGTTATCACTTGAAAGGGGCACTGGCTGTGGTTTCTGCCCCTGCAAAGGGGATGATAATCCTGAGAGACCCAAAGGGATGGGCTGGAGCTTGAGTTGTGTCTAACAGCTGGGTCCTGAGTACCACAACTCCAGTGCTGCCTTTCAGGAAAAGGGACAGTCTTCTTCTTTCTTTTAAAAAGCAATTCTTAGATATAAAAATAAAATAGAGCAGGAGAAAGTAAAGCACTTGAGCTATGGTTTCTGTTGCATGTGTTTGTCCTCTTTTATATAACCACTCTGGGCAATTTGCTTCCCCTCCGTGGGCTTGGCCTGCTGTGCGTAAAGGGGAATGAAGTCTATTTCCAGACGAATGGCAGAAATGAAAAAGAACATGCATAAGATCAGAGGATGTGCTACCTGTCACAGGAAGTTGGTACTCACCACCTGGCCCCCTGAATGGGGGCAGACGGATAGGCTGGGTAGGCATGAGGGTCCTGCAGTTCCTTTTCACCCTAAAAGTCTTGAGTTATCTGTCTAACTGCTGCACATTTCCTGTCCACAACTAGGTTTTCAGCCTGCTGCTACCTGGCACAGGAAGGCTCCTAATTACCCACTAGGTGACACACATTCCCCTCCACTACTTTTTTTTTCCTAGTGCTAAAGATGGAACCCATGATCTCTTGGATGTGAGGCAAGTACTCTACCACTAAGCCACACCCCAAGCACCACACTTCCTTTTAAGTCCAAAGCCTGTCTCTTTCAAATTTCTGGGGCTTTGGTGAAAAAGCTTCAGATTCACTCAATCTCTGCTGTTAATATTGTTATAGATGTTGGTAAAAATCCCAGAAGTGTGACAGACCAGAATGACATGTGATCACTTCTTAGGAGACTTGGGGTGTGCTTTGGGCTCTGTGGCCACCTGTTCACGTGGCTCATCTGATAGCTCTTCTCCAAATCTCTAATTCTTCCTCAGTAAACTAGGCTTCTAGAGCTGTTTCTCTTCTAGGATCTTTTGACAGAGAACCCTCTCTACATCTTCAATCATTTTAGTTGCCTTTTTCTGAACTTGAGCTTGTTGGAAGACAGATTTGTCGAAATTCTAAAGATTACCCATCTCTGACTTTAAATAACTAGGGCTGTCAGCTTGGAGCTGGGGATTGGCATTCAGCTCAGGATGTGCAGCTGTGGGGCTGGGTTAGTTGTAGGGTGTGTGCGTGCGTGCGCGCATGTGTATGTGTGTGTGTGCATGTGTGTGTGTGTTAATATCTATTTGCTGAGAGGCACGAAAAAGCACTTAGCTGGGATAGTGCTGCCATTTCTCTGGAGCCAGAACAAAAAAATTTCTCAGCACATTAAAGCATGCCGTTATGCTAAGAAAAAAATGACTGCAAAATTATAACTTGGGGGTTTCCATATTTATCCACCCCCTGGACTATGAGTCAAAACAAGATTTATTTGTGCAGTGCATTTCAAACTGCTAGCACTTCAAGCTCAACTTGGAACGTGGGAAAAAATCAAACTGCTATTTTTTGCTTTGTGCTGTACATTGTCACTGAGGACAAAGATCACAGGATGAGATTTAGCTAGCAGCACAGGGAGGGGAGGGGAGGGAAACGGACCACAGCCCCTTGAGCTACTCAGTTTTGAGACTGAGGCGAGAAGGACTGAAAGAAAACAAACACCTTTTCTCAGCAGAAGACTGCAGCATGAGCTATGCGGCAGGACAGAAGCACAGAGCATGGCAGAGTCCTGGATTCTAGGTCTGGCCATGTCACTGACCAGCAGTGGGCACTTCCTCTCTGTGGATCTCGGTTTTCTCACCTAAAATTAATCTCCAGCTCAGAGACACAGGTCTATCAGAGATACTGGGCTCTCCGGTTTAACCACCCCAGTTATACTCAGCTTATAGACCTAATGGTACAGTGCTATGAGAATGACACAAAAGACGAAAATATGAACTTTTACATCCAAGAAGGCAGACCTCGGGAGCCAATAATCCAGATTCAGGGGAGATATGAATCTGCACAGGCTTGGACCCAGTTCTACTACTTGACACAGGGCTCAAGTCTTTAGATGTCTAGTTTGTCTCATGAACTTAGGGTAGGGCTCTCAGAGTACAGCCTGTTTCTTCTTCAAGGTGGAATGGCTAGACCAGCTCTAGCCAGTGGAGAGGAGAAGCAGGTGGGTGACGGTGCAGAGTTAGCTGACTGCTATGACTTCCTATCTGGAGTGCAGAGACCCAGCACAGATGTGGTGTGGACCTCTTCTGCAGAAGGCCTGCACGTCAAGTTGTTCATATGGGGTGAGGATAGGGTAGGGTGAGGCGAGGATCAGTTCTGAGGGTAGAACTCTCCTACCCATCAGGCAGGGTAAATGTGATGGTCTGAATGAGCTTTTCCTCTAAGGGTTGTGGTTCTCAATAAGATGGTGCTGGAGGTATGACTTCCACAAGGTGAGGCCAGGGGTTGGTTATTGAGATTGAGGTTATTGAGATGCTTCCTTTGGAAAGGCTTAAGGTGGTTTTCATGGACCTTGCTTATTTCTTGGGAGAGTAAGCCAGCCCCTCCCCATTCCTGTAGCTTCTGGTCTGACACTGCAATCTCTTCCTCACAAACACTTCTTCTGTGTTAGGATCCACCATGCTGTGACACAGCCAAGAGGATTCTCACCAGAGCTAAGCCATGCAGGCTCCTGTGCCCTTGATTCTCTTGTACTGTGAGTGCAGTAAACTTTCTTTCATAAGTAGCTTTTCTCATATATTTTGTCACAGTAACAAACAAAGACTATCACTAGTTTTCTCTTCCATGGAATGGCCTTGGTTCCCTTTGAGCTGGAAGGACCTTTGAGGTTCCTGCCATTCACACACTCTTGCTCCATTCAGGGCCCCCTGAGAGAGTCCGATGCCGGAAGGAGTCTTGCAGAGCACTTTCTCCACTCACTCCGAGTATGATTAGCCAAAGTTCAATGGCCAGGAGACGGCTGAGTTGGCATGGTAGGAACTTTCTTTCCAGGGAACTCTACCACTTCCCCCAGCATCTGTTCCACCCCTCACAACCTCATGAGAGTCTTTCCCATGTATGGCAATTTCAGCCCTTTATTCTTGTGCTGCTTTTCAGGTTGAGGAAGAAAGGGGCACTGAGAACAGCTGGCCACCATTCAGTTAATAATAAGGCTTCAGAACTATGAAGACTATTATTAAAGCTTCCCTTCCACCCTCCTTCCCAGGCGAGGGAGTTGGTAAAGTGCTTGGAGCTCTTTGGAAAAATAAGGTGCTCCACAAATATAAAGTACTTATTATTTTCAGTTCCCCTAAGATCAAATTAGATGTCAAGTTTTAATCTATCACCTGACACCTCTGATTGCTGGTTGCCAAGGTAGAATGACTTAGCTTTTCAAGAATCAGGAGAATAATTGCATTCCTGATGCCTCTGTTCCACACCTCAACACACACGCCATCATCTGACACAGACTCCCGCACTTGCCCTGGAAACCTTGTGCCACTGAGCTGAATTCATTTTCCAGTCTGTCATCCTGGTCCCCTAGACTGCCTGGTACATGCTGGGCACGTGGGTCAAGCTCAGCAAATTCCTGGTGTGGGACCATGGATATCTTTGAAAATGATTCAGTTCCTTTGTAACTATGGTGTATATATTTTTTTGTGTGTGTTTCATCCAGTCATCAAACCTCTGAGCAGAAGATTGGTAGACCAAGGCCAGGGCCCTGATAGTGTATGTGAGGTTCTTGGTGCCAGCAATAAAAAGCTGACTAATACACATAGATAACTCTCTGAGTTAGCCTTGTATGGATCACCCTCCTCTGCATACTCCAAAGCTTCCACGGGCATCTTCCCAGGCACATGCTGACAATGCTGTCAGTCTCATTCCATGAAGGAACAGATGGACATCCAGTGCTCAGTAGCAGTTGACTGTAGTGACTGGATTTATACTCCAAAGATATAATGATACATTTTGAGATTTCTTCACTTCTACCACCAAGTCCAATTGCATGCTCTCTCTTGATCTCAGGTCCTCTGTGGAAACAGAAGACCTAGAAACTATATCCCTAATAGTAGCGGAGAGCGTAGTCTTGCAAATTTGTTTACATCTACTTCCATTACTTCTGGATCATTTCCACCAAGTTCCAATATATATCATAATTTAGGTTGGCAGACAATTGAATGTTTGTGGCTGGGAAAAGAATGGGTGGCCTTGATTTCATTTTAGTTTAAACCAGTGTGCTAGATTGTACTAGACAGATGATTTTCACAGGAAAATGCTTTTGCCTAGTAAAACTGTATGTGTACTCAATATGCACAACCAAAAGAAGCCAAGCAGATCTGATGACAAAAAGAGATGAGCACCCATAGCTCAAGTCACTAGACTGTCTCTGCCATACCCCACTATCAGGGGTATATATGTCAGTTTCCAGAGTTTCAGAGATAAGAGCATAAAAACTTTGGGGTATAGGCTTCCTAATGCTCCTCCTAGTACTGCCAAGAAGGAAGGAAAGGAAAGGAAAACCAAGAAGATGAGGAGGAAAGTATGACAGAGAAGGAAAGGGAAAGACAATGACATCATAAGTTTCACATTATAAACAGGAATTGCCACATTTATCTGTGCCATTTGCTACCTTACTAATAGTCTGGTGCAGAGATAATTCACTATATTTCAAACCATACAGTTTTTCATTTGTAAAGGATTAATGCACAGTAATTTTGAGAGATGGTTTGCATTAAGTAAATTTCAGAATAATCCTTAAATCTGGCTTCTATTCTGTCTCTTATTTTTCTTGGTAATAAGAAGGACGCAGATGAATAGCAGAGAGTGGTCTAGCCAGTCAAGGTGACACAAAAACAGATATTGGTGGGAAGAATCACAGACAGGTCTCAAGGCCAAAGGGATCAAGAGATCAGCATCCCCAGTGAGAATCCACTTACTCATCTGCATTAGCCAAGCACCATGAGTCAAGGCCCCTGTCAAGAATCTGGGTTGCAATGACAAAGAAGTGGCTTCAGTTCTCAGGAGGCTCAGTGAGAGACACAGGTGGGTAAGCATGTGAGTTACAAAAGAGTCGTAAGTAGGTGACAGGGCTGAAGATAAACCTCAGGGGGACAGAAGGGCCTGGCAGTGTTCTGAACAAATACTGAATGAATGATGGATCCTTCTGGTGGAAGGCAATGGGAAGTCCTACTGGACTGCTTTGTAGAAGCAGTACATGGCTTGTCTACACTGTCTTTGACCTTGTGAAACCTGCATCAAGGTGGCAGAGGAACAACATGTGTTTGGACAAGAGATGGTTTGCACTCACAAAGCAACACACTGTGAGCATAAACCAAGAAGGTAAAGCCTCACAGATAGTCCTGAATTTGAGGAATGCAGCTGCTCAGTGCCCTGGGTAGGGCTTTTGTTTGGGGAGGAGTCCAGAGACTCACCTTTTAGATCAACCTCCCCTGAAGGGTGTGTGGAGGGCTGGGACAGAAGCCTCAACCACTGCACAGAAAAGCTTCTGGGCAGGGCACAGCTGGGAGCACTGGAACCAGCAAAACACAGGGCTGGGAAAGGGGTCGTGAGGAAGAATTTCATTGTGACTCAACTGAAACACTGCTGTCTTCTCAGGGAAACCTTGGGGCACCCCACTCTGTGCCTCAGCTCCAATCTAGACCTCCTCACTCATAGAAATTGTAATGACACAATTACAGGTAGTCTTAGTCCACTTCCTGGAGCCATAACAATACTATAGGCTGACTAGTTCACCTGATACACTGCTCTGAGGTTGGAGAGTTTAAACTTAGACAGCTACTTCCAGTGAAGTTCTCTTCACTGTGATGAGAACCCTGCAGAGTCCCAAGGTGGCACAGGGCATCACATGGCAAAACAGAACACTTGCTCAGGCCTCTCTTCCTCCTCTTGAACAGACACAGCCCCTCTGGATCAGTGCACAACCCTCATGGTCTCCTTTTAACACCTCCCAAATACAGTAGTTAGATTGAGTTCCACCCCTTCATATCTCACAGAAAGGGTCACATTTCAATATGAGTCTTGGCCAGGGCCTTCAAACCATAGCACTGGTGACCTGTGTGTTTCTCCATGAGGTCAGGGGCTGCTCTCACTCCTGACCCCAGCTCTCACATGCACAGGTAAACAAATACCTGTTTCTGTTTGGTCCTGGAAAGGTGAGAGCCAGAGGAAGAGGGGCAGGGCAGAGGACATGCAGTTGCCAGAAGGGGCCTGCTCACCTCTATGCTGCTGAGCCACTGCCGGACTGACAGGAATGACTCCTTGGCTGTGAGGTCGTATACGATGATGATGCCATCAACTTTTCGGAAGAACTGCTGGGTGATGCAGCGGTACCTGCCCAGGGAGGCCACCATTAGGCCCAAGCAGCCTTACTTCACAGCCCAGACCTCAGGGACAGCTCCTCACCTTTCCTGTCCAGCCGTGTCCCACAGCTGCAGGGCCACCTGAGAGCCATCCACGTTTATTGTCTTCACTCGGTAATCGATACCTGCAAGGGGGACTGGGTTTGTCATCAGGGCTTCCTGGGGGTGGAGGCATCTTCACTTCTAAATCAGGGAAGTGAGGCCTCCATGTCTGAGTCATGCCATCCCCAGGGGACAGCTGTCCTCGTGCCTTCTGGGAGACACTGTGGAGAGATGCACAGAGCACAGGACCTAAGCTCTGGTCCTGTCTCCCTCTTACTTACTATGGACCCTGATCAATCACTCAGCATTCCTCAGTTGCAGGCTTCATACTGTGGTGCAACCTATGTCCTCTTTAGTGACACTGTGTAAGGCCAAGTCAGAGCCCATGCAGGAAAGCAGTGTGCCAGTACAGACCACTGCTGCCCTCCATAGATTCTCTTCCTTAAAGGGAAACTGAAGGAGAGAGGACGGAACCCAGTGTGTTCCCTCCCTCTTGCACTCCCATTCTTCTCCTCCTTCCATCTTTCTCCCTCTGTCTGTACCTTCCTCTCTGTTTCTCTCACTTCTTTTGGCTAAGATCCTTTCAAAGTTCTCTTAATAAAATTTAAACATCCTGGGGGATGGATCATTCCTTAAGACGCCCTAAGCCAATCTAAAGGTGTGAGGAAGGGGAGAAAAAAAGAGAGAGAAAGTAGGGGAGATATCTAAAGATGGCATTTACTTTGAGATGGGTTTAGGATCCATTAGCTATCACAAGTATCCCTCCAGGGGTGTGACCCTCTCTGGGGTCATCTGCCCCAGAAAAAGGAACAAGGTCAGTGATAGGCATTCTGGACCCCACAGTAGCATTCAGAGAAAAGGATCTTGACACAGATTCTCAGTATACAAATATTCCTCTCCTGTGACCTGTAAGAATATTCACATATGAGGGTCCAGAGAAGATGGTGGATTGATAAGTAGCAAGGTAAAGAACCTCTCTGAGAGAAACAGCTCAGACACTAGAATTTACCACTATGGAGAAGACTGGATGAAAGGAGAGGGATTCTCACAACCCAGAAAGAAACTAAGGAAAAAGAAAGAAAAGAAAGGAAAAGAAAAGAAAAGAAAAAAAATGTGGATGGAAGGCTGGAGCCAGATGCACTATCACTGGAGCCAGTCCCACACTGTGCTAGGTGCCCTGGAGTCAGATGACTCGCGGTCGTGCTGAAGTCAGGGGTTGGTGACTCCGCGGCAGAAGGACACATCACAACAGAGAATGGAGCTAGAGTGGAGACCTGTACTAACCTGCGTTGAGTGCTCAGAATTTGGTCCTCCGTGGGAGGGGGGTGACTGGCTGAATGACATATTGGAATTGGGCAGGATGGGCCTGTACCAGGAACTGCAGTGGCTTCAGTTGGCTGCTCCTCACCCAGAGCAGATTGGGGGGATCTGCTTGGGCTGGGTCATGTCCCTGGTCAGGACCCAATAGCAAGGGACAAAATTGCCCCTGAAATTGTCCTGAACCAGTTTCACCCATCCATTCACTGCTAATGTGGTGAAGGCCCCGCTGGTTGACTGGCTCAGAGGAGAGGGGCCAGCCTACACTGCTCCTGATTGCACCTCAATGATCAACAGTAAACTGAAGAGAGCAGCAATCCCTAGCCAGCATGCTTCAGAAGAACTGTAACCAATATGGAAAGGGACTGGGACCTCCACCATACACCTGTAGGGAAGAAACCAGAAATATGACAAGAGAAAGAAATAAGAAAAAGCCCCCAGCCGCCAACCAAGGGAATATGGGTCCAGGAGAGGAAAATACAGTAAAGATCGAGGACAGCAAACGTGCAATATTGGACATGGCATCAGCTGACATAAGGAAACATCTACATGACATTATAGACGAACTCAAAACTGAAATACTAGTACAAGTAAAGCAAGATATAAGAAGATTAATAAAAGAAATGCTAAGCACCTCTCAAGAAGACATAGATGGAAGAATGGAGGGACCCAGAAAAAAGAGAGAAACCTATGATGAAGAAGATAAAAAAAACCCTACAATATATGAAACAGATTCAAAGAGATGACCAGGCAATTAAAAACTCCATTGAAAACTGACAAAATTGCCTGAATGAAACTAAAGATAGATTATCAAAACTTGAAGACAGGTTTGTAATGTGTGATTGTGAAAGGAAAAATCTCTTAAAAATAACAAGGAAACAGGCAGTAACAATACAAAGGCTAGAAGAAGACAAGAGGATCTATAACTTAAGAATAAAAAATGTGAGCGAAGAAGCAGGGGTAAACACAGAGGAAATACAAAGGCTATTCACAAAAATAATTAAGAAAAACTTTCCAAGCACAGGAAAAGGAAATGATATGATGTATGAGGCATACAGAACTCCAGCTAGCTATAAACCAAAACAGATCTACACTCAGACATATAATAATCAAGATCCCAGAAATTCATCACAAGAACAGACTCTGACTGAAAGCAGTCAGAAGGGAGTTAGATCACCTATGGAGGAAAGTCCATCAAAATCAAGACAGACTTCTTGACACAAACCATCAAATCAAGAAGAGCTTGGAGCAAAGTATTCCAAGCCCTGAAATAAAATAACCTCCAACCCAGGTTGATGTACCCTGAAAAACTGTCTCTCAAAATTAATGGAGAAACAAGACGCTTCCATGACAAAGAACTGTGGGAGTTTGTGAACATCAATCCAACCCTACAAAAATACTGAAGGACATTTTAGAGAGAAAAAAAATACCAGGATTTCAGGAACAGTGGTAGAGAGTCCTCAATGAACAGGGCAGACAGTGGAATGAAGGAGAAAAGTAGACAACCAATGGCAGAAAAATAACATAGCAGAAATGAGGCAGAGAATGTTGGCTACATTCTCTAACATAGATGGCTTTAATACACTAACAGAAAGAAACACAGGCAGAGTAGATCAGGAGATAGGGTCCATTGAGATGCTCTGAATAAGAAATATAATCTACCTGAAAAAGGGTTAATGAACTGAAAGTCAAAGATGAGAAAACGATGCTCTATGTAACAGGGAACCAGAGAGAAATAAGGACAACTCATCCAGCAGCTACAGATAGGTTGGAAAGTCATGACATTTATGTGCAATGGAGAATGCTCAGCTATAATGAAGGAAAACCTGGAGGCGTTTGTATGTAAAGGAATACAACTTAAGATCAAGCTCAGGGGTAAAAAGGTTCAGAACCACTTAGGTAAATAGCAAGTTGCCCCACCTAATCTAAAAACTAAAGGAGTTACTAGGACTCAAAATGTACAATGCACCCTGTGAAAGTAACAGGGGAGAAACTGTTTAAAAAAGGAAGACAGAGGATATTGTTAATAGTGTATCAGGATTTCAAATCCACATTATTCTCATCGCTCTGTTTAGTTTGATTATATTCTGTTCCAGTCTGTCTACTTGTACTAGATTTGAGGGCACAGGCAGCTATCCAAAAATAGCAGAATATACTGCAGTAACCATCCTTAATTTCCTATTAACTTAATCTGAAGCCCTATATAACTTACACTGTCTTATTTTGAATGATCTTATTTGAATCTGATTTGTTAGATTGCTCTTTTGTCTTGACTGATTTTATTCAAATTTGTTATGTTTGATAGTATCAAGTCTGAAAGTGTAGGCAACTACACTGAAGATGACAAGATTCACTGGGATACCCATTCTGGTTTGACTATTACCTGCTTTTGAAGTCTTATAATGTCTCCAATGTTTTGCTTTTATTAATATTGTTATATACTGCTATGTTTAATTATACTATGCCTGATGACATAGACAATTCTATTGAAGATAACAAGAGACATCATAGTACCATTGTAGATCACCTTGTATTGTGGTTTTATATGTCTTTTTCGGTTCGTGTTTTTCTAGGAATTTGTTTCATTTTGTCTTGTTTTGGTTTTTTCCCCTCTAATACAGAAAGGATAGGTATACATGTAGAGACTCATGCATGCATAGAACTTCTAAACAGTTTATGGGAATTGATTATATAATGCACGATGAAATGAACAGCTACTTTGAAGAAAAAGAGATGCTAAGGTACCCAGTGCTGATTCCATAGTGTCATGATGTGAAATCCAGAAATACTATGATTCTTTGTTCAGAGTGATTTTAGTCTGTTTTGTTTTGTTTAATTTCAACATATGTGAAGGTCTGAACAGCTATTTTGAAGAGAATGAGCAGCCACTGTTGACTTCCTTATTGTCTGCCTTGAAGACCCAAAATGCTTTCATCATTCTGGTCTGATAAGATTTATACTACTTTGTTTTATATGAATTCACTGTATGTGAAGACATGGACAACTATTTGGAAGAAAACAAGAGACAATGTGATAGACAGTGAAGATCTCTGGTTGTCTTGCTGTGAAATCTGTGTCTCTTACACTGTTTTCTTATTATCTGTTTCGTTATGTTTAATTTTACCCTCTTTAAAATAAAATTAAAAAAAAAGAATATTCACACATGCAAGATAGTGTTCCAAAAGTCTTCACCCTTAAGGCACTCAACTGTAGAACGGCATCTATCTCATCTTCTGAAAGGCCTGCAGGGTCCATCCCCCAGAGGACCCCAGAGGACTCAGGAGCAGGACTGGTAAGCACAACAGGGCCAGCAGCTGACCAAGCACTGGACTTGGAGTCCTAGGAGCTGGGGAGCTTAGTTCCTAATAATCAGCCTGATTGTGAGCCTGATTTTCTCGCTTACAATAAGGTGTACATGAGCTATTTCCAAGCTTTTTTCCAGCTCCAATGTTCTACCCAAATAAACCATCACTTGACATCATCAGCCACTACTGAAAGAGTAGGTAGGAGTCATATGGTGGAGCAGGTAGAGTGTTTGGTCATACAGTTGTATTAACAAGCCAAGAGTCTGGGGGTTCTTGGTCACAGGGTTCTTATGGGGATGTGGAAAACCACAGAATCTTCAAAGCTCTGGCAATGGAAGGGAGCCTGGAACAAGCATCTAGTTTATACTCCTAGATGTGCTGCAGTGGTATGCTGGAGAGCCAGTGGGCCAGAGCCCAGTGCTGGGTTGGGCTGCATTGGCCTTAGGGATCTGGGACTCATCAACATATACACTTCCCTCCAGGGAGTATTCTGCAGGTTACTGTGACAGCTCCTCACTGACACTGTAATAAGGCAAGACAAGCTGTGTGGTAGGGAGGCTAATCTAAGTGGCTGCCTCAGCAGGGTGGATGTGGTCCAGATACAGAACCTTTGATTTTTCTCATTCCTAAATTGTAGGTGCTTCCATAATTGACCCCCAGGGAAGTGCTGTTAGTCTGATTTTCTCTTTTTCAGAGCTTTCCATTTCAGGACCACATGCTGGAAAAGTACACAGACCTGCTCCCTTTGGCAGCAAGAAGCCCATTGCTCAGGGTCTTTGCACACCCATCCCCTAGCCTCCCACCAAACAGGCCGATGTCAGAGGCGTGGCACCTGCAGAGCAAACCTGTCCACCTTCTTGAGGTTTGGTTCAGGCTTTATTCTCCTCCCCTCCAGGGCCCTGATGCTCTGTCATGGGTAGGATAGCTCTTGGTCTGTTGTTGGAGTGGGGCACAGAAAGGGGCCGGTAAGATGTAGTACAGGAAAAGGAAGTACAGGAAAAGAATCAGAGGTAAGAATGGAGAACTGTGGCCTGTGGGCAGAGGTCTGTGAGAAGGAGAAGTGTGGACAGAGTCAGGTCAAAGTGGGAGAAAGAAAAGAGTCCCTAAGTGGGGTTCTGATGCATCAGAAGTTTGCCCAGCTTCTCAGTCTGAAGTGGAAGATGACTTGGCCAAACAGCCAGGCTTGGAGGCTGTAGAGGGGTATCCAGATCAATGTCTTCATTTGAAAAATGAAGGAAAATTGAATCCCAAAGAGGGATCAAGTCAACTTGAGGTCACACAGCCAATTAGTGGCAGAGGAAAGATAAGAATCCAGAACTTTTGATATCCTGGGGACCCCAGCAGCCTTTTCTGCCTACATTAATCTCTGCCCATGAGGCAAAAGAGGATCCCTGCCACTTACTGGGCACTTAGTGGAAACAACTCAATACTGCCAGAGATGCTGTGGAGAGGACAGAGGTGTGTTTGTGGGGAACAGGAATACAGGTAAGCCTCTCAAACACTCTGGGCCTTAGTGTCCCACTTGTTGAACTGATAATTCTGTTCCTCCACTGTGGTTGTAGAGCCAGATGGAAATGATGACTATAAAAGCCCTTGGTCAATACTCAGACCCTAAATATATTAAGTTCAGGGGACTTATCAGCTTGGTTAAATAGCACACAGTACTCATTCAAAGCATTTATATTCTGTTGAGTGATTCTGCTTGGTGGAAGCTAAAAAGTCAACATGCCCTTGGGTGTTGCCACAGATTCCAAAGCAGTGTGTAACTGTGGTGAAGCAATTAAAACCTTCTGTTTAAACAAAATATTATTCAAGAGTGGGAACACATTTAGCTATGACCATCTATTCATAACTGACCCTAATGAGCTTCTGCAATTAATTCCAGCTGTCATGCAGCAGGCCTGGGTGAAATTTGTGGGTAAAAGGCGCTGTCCAGAGTGCCCCATCAGCACATTCACAAGCATATACATGCTTATGTGTGCATGAGCACACACGCACACACACACACACACACACACACACACATGACCATATGCACACATAGGGGCAAAGCAAGGAAGTAGTAGGCCCACTGCGAACAGGGATGTGCTAAAGTGATAGAGTTTAGGGCTTTGGAGAAGCCATGCTCAGTCTGAACATGAAGAATCAGGGCCCTGTGAGAGAGGCAAAGGAGAGACACAAGACAGAGCAGCTCCCCAAGATGATAGAAGAGTCCCAAATCCATCTTTGCCAACTTCCATTCCATAAATCTAGGGTTGGATTTACAGATTCTGGGTCCCATCCCACTGAATGAGCTTAGTAACTGGTGGTGTGGGGTGTGGGCTTCACCCAGCCCACTGCTGAACATAGCAGACACTGGTGTCCCTATCAGCCTTAACCATGGGTCTTTCCAAGGGCTCCAAATCCCTTCCTAGGCAACGACTCACCCACAGTGGCTGCAATGCCTGTGGAGAAGTGCTCGTCGCAGAGCCTCCTCAGTAAGGACGTCTTCCCCACCGCAGAGTTGCCCACAAACACAATCTTGAAGAGCCGATCTGGAGTGGGTGGTGAATGTTCCTCCTGTGGATCATAGACAGTCAGTCCAGGTACCTTCCAGGGGCATCCCCTAGTCCCTACTGTTGCCCTGACTCATCTTTCTTGTTCTGCCTATGGTTCCTAGGAGCCCAAAACACAGAGAGGCTACCCCAGGCTCAGAATGCAGTTAGTACTGGGCTCCAGGCACAGAGGTCTTTCTCACATCATAGAAAGGAAGAGAATAAGCCATCACTAACATGAGTTGCCTGCCTCTATGACTCTGGGGTGGGAAGGCAGGCCGTGGTTAATGGAGAAGTGGGGGAGGCAGGTATGTAAACAATCATAGGGGCACAATGCTCACAGAGCAATAGGAGCACAGAGGAGGAGCCATGGGAATAGGTGGCAGCTTAGAGGAAGCAGGGATTCTTCGGGTAGACAGGACTACTGGACTATTTCTAGGAAGGTGATCTAGAGAGAGGGTAGCTACATCACAGGGGCAGAGACATCCAAGCTGGAATGTGAGTCCCTTTTTTCTGCACTGTCACTGAAAGCTGGGGTGGAATGGAGACTCTGATATGGCTCTCTTTTTCTCTCGCCTCAGTTTCTAGTCATCTTTCCCAGACACCAAATGGTCTCCACTCAGGAAGCTGGAACGTGTGCTGTGATGCCTGGCTATTGTGGCTTCCTAGAGGCCACTGTAATTTCTCAGAGGCCACTGTGGCTTCCCCAGAGATACAGGGGACAGTGCAGGAAGCTGAGCCACCCATCAGTTGGGGCTTTAAAAGCTCAGGAGGGATGGGCTCGCTCAAGGACACAGGGTGAGTAGGATGTGGCTTGTGGTCCCTTCCTTCTGCCTGGTGGCTATCCCCTCCAAAAGTGCTTACTCACTTGAGTCTTGTCTGCAGGCTCAGTTCAGCACTGCATGGTCAGAGGAGCCTTTCTGACATCTATTTAAGAGTGGACTGGAGGAATTAGCTCCTCTCCTTGAGCAAATACTATAATGGAGTGGCAGTTGATATTAGCAGTACCTGAGTTTCAGAAAAAGTCATTAGCAGTCTTCTGCAGAGAAAGAAATTCCACCTAGTATATGAAGGATTTCAAGGTCAACTACAGAATTTAAACTAAAAAAAAATTTAAAAGCCCACACTCAAAAATGATGCCCCCGCTCTGTTTTGTATATTCATGCAATGCACAAAGATGCTGGCACCCTGCCTGTCTTTCGTCTCTGTATCTCTGATTGTCATTTGTTTGAGCCTAAACCATTGTGCACTGAGTGGAAGTACAGGTAGAGACTGTGAAAATCAGGGTGATTGAGGGGTCATGGTGGTGGATATTTGAAAGCTGTTTCAGAAGGTCAAGTGGAGGCTGAGGGCTTGAGCAGCCTATTTCAAGGTCTAGTTACAGATGAGGGAAGGAACATCAGAGCCAGAGGAATAATCTATATGGTCTCCTTGCAGAATTTAGCAGGAAGGCTTAGCAGGAGGAGTAAACACTCTCTAAAGGGAAGACCAGGCAGGGAATTGGGGAATGAAGGCTGATTGACTAAGAACTAAGAGGGAAAACAAGTGTACACACACTTTCCAGCAGGGACCAGCCCTGCTGAGAGGAATTACATGCACAGCTTTGAAAGTCTCTGATGTTTCATGGTATGAGCCCAGAGGAAGCCTATCTTAGGTAGGCGTTCAATAAATGCTTTGAATCTGAGTCAGAAAAGAGCACAGGGTGGGATGGGGCTAACAGTAGAATTAACACAGAGAATTCATCAGTACCCCAAGTCTCTCCCACTGACACTCAGCCAAGCAGGGCAAGGGGGTCTTTGGAAGACAGGAATGTGAGACATCCCAGAACCTGTTGTGTCTACTTCCTGAATGCCCTCTGGGACTCCTGGGTGAAAAAGCAAAGGACAGATTATAGAGCAATGCCTACAAACCAGGTAGGGCTGGTCCCTTACCCGACAGAGGGCTTCTTTTCCGACAGGCTGCCCTCGGGGAGACTTAGGGGAAAGTGTCAAGGGTGGGGCCTGTGGGATTGGTCCCTCAGCCCCCTGGCTGGGGACCCCCTCCTCTTCAGAGCACTTGTTCAATGGCTGCTCAGTGGTGACATCCAGGAGCTGGGGCAGGGGGTCTTCCTCGATAGAGATGATCCTGCGAAGCGCCCGTCGGAGTGGACCCCCAGCTCCTGGCTCGCTGGTCCCGGGCTCCTCTTCTGTGAGGGGGTATGCACTCAGGCCCAGGGAGCTCTTTCTTCTCGGAATGCTAAACATATCTTCCTCCTCCTCAGACTGGCTGTCAGGATGGGGAAGAAACACAAGTTGGGGAAATAGCCTACATTATAGAATATCTTTTGTGACAGATGACAAAAGAACACCAGGCCTTTGAAGGACAGCAAGAAAAACAACAGATCGAGCACTTCTTTAGCTCATTCATTCTAATACTCAGTGCCTAATGATGAGGATGAAGACGAGACGAACATGAAAGATTATGACCAGAATTGACAGAAGGCAAAGGCCATGAACAGGTGGGCACAGAATCTGTCCATATACATGCTGGGCTTAGTGGAGAGCTGTTACAGTTTGGAACCAAAATATTCCCCCAAAGACTCATACATTGAAGGCTTGATCCCCAAAGCAGCAGTCTTCAGATTTGGGTTCCAGAAAGGTGAATGGATCAAAAAAATGTGTCAGTGTCATCAATGCAGTCATCCAGTGAAGAGTTCACTGCTGAGTAGGGTGTTGGGCATCGTGGTCTCAGAGGAAGCAGGCCCCAGGACAAAAGTTCTATCTTGTGCCCAGGCCCCTCCTCCCTGGCCTTTTTCCTCTGTCTTCTGACTGCCATGAGGGGAATAGCTTTCCTTCACCACATCATTCCACCATGATGCTTCTGCTTTGGAGCCAACAGACCATGGGCTGAAACCCAGGAAACTGTGAATCAAAATAAATCTTTCTTCCTTCAAGTTGTGTTTCTCAAGTGTTTTGTCACAGCAACGGAAAACTGGCTAACGTTATGTCTAAAGAATTAATGATGAAAATAAACATATCTTTACAAATTCGTAGTGTGCTATGAAGGAAGTAAAGGTAGTGAAGAGAGGAATTAACCTCCCTGACTGGCAATCAGGTGGCTTGCTCTGCTCCCAGTACCAGCCCTTATAAACTGTTCATTCTTGGGTAGAACAGTTTCACTCTGCAAACCTCTGTTTCTTCACTGAGGGAACTGAAAAGTTCAAAAACTGCAAAGGAGGCCCATCTGCTCTGCCTGTTCACAACTGCAGCAACCCACAGTTGTAGGCATGTTCACTGCATGCTCTCCAAAGTTTGGGGCGCTGTGGCTTGGGGGGCCCTGTCCTCTCACAGTAGGCGTCTGTTCCTCAGAGGCAGTTGCCCTTTGAGAAAGGGAGTACTTTGGGCCTTAAGGAATATCCATACACTACTTCTTTCTGCCCCTAGGGGTGCACAAGGGCACACTCATTTCTTGACCCATTTGAGCAGAAATAACAAAGAGGAGAAATGGGAGTGGGGAAAAATAGGTCCCTGGGATGTACACCAGGCACAAGTGGTATCTTCAGGAAGTTTGGAGAGCAAAAGCCTCATTGACCCTGTTGAGCAAGGAAGCTCCTTCTAGGTCTTTGTGAAAAGGGGGAAGCTGAGAATTTTGAAAGGGTTCCGAAGTCTGGCAGGCAGGACCTTATGTGCAAGCTGAATCAATCTCTCTCTCTGTCTCTGTCTGTGTCTCTTTCTCTCTTACACAGATTTGAAAAGCAAATGCAACAAAGACAGAGCAGTGAGGTAACAGGACCAAGGAAGAAAGGGATTTAGTGAAGAACACAGAATATGCAAAACACAGAAACACCCTTTATTTTACCCCTGGCTGATAGCATTTAATGCTCCTAAGGACTGACAGGAAGAAGAAGAAGAAGAAGCAAAAAGAACCTCAAACAGCACCATTCTAAGGTTAATTGCAATTCAGAAAGATCAATTAGGACACAGTGCTAGCTCATAACAATGGTAAATTTATTTGGATCCTTTGATGGAAATAAGGAATCTATAGCAAACCAAACACCTTTCCCTTACTTACAAAAATCACAGTTTTAATTAAAAGCCAGCTGGCTTCTTTCCAGCTTACTTCCTGTCTGTACTATCGAGCCTGGTAACCATAGTGTGACGAGTACTCCCACCCATTTGCACTCTGCTTGCCCAGGCAAGGGAGATATTTGCGTGCAACATGAGCAGTATGCACACAGCGTGTTTTTCGAAAGGCTTTGCAACCAGAAACAAAACAGCCACTTACATAGGCTCTAAAAGGAAGCATTTCTTGGAAAGGGCTTCTTATTTGGGAAATTCTTAGGCACTGTTGACATTTTATAATACCCTCAGCTTAGCATGACTAAGTTTATTTTTGGTTTTGCCACCAAATGCTCTCTGGCATCAGTAGAGAGAGTGTCCACTTTTGCCAAGCCTGTATTGGGATTCAGAGTTCATGATTTGTTGCTTAGTGGATTGTTGTCTGTTTCCTCTGCTCAAGAGAGAGGTCTATTTCACTCACTTACTTCAGGCACCCAGCACATAGACCAGGACCTCACACAACTTCAATATTAAATGAGCATTTAATCACAGATATTAACAGTGAAAATTATGTCAATTCATCTTTCAAGTCTTTGTAAAATTCAAAAGAATACCTGGCACAGAGTAGGCAGTCAGCAAGTGCCTGCTGAATCAATCAACGACTACACTCAGTGCCATGGAACCAACAGGCCAACTATTACTGCAGAAATTTGGCTTCCAAATTGTATCTCATTATTCAGCTATTTGGAGGTGGAATTTATGGCAATTAAACCCAAAGATTTTTCCTCATAAGCTGATTTATGTTCCCAAAGTTATTTTCTTTTGCACATCTTTTTATTTCAGCTTGCTTCTCCCTGGATCTGATACTTCAGGGCCTCCACTTCTCTGTGACCTTTATGTGGGCAAAGAATGTGCCAAATAGGTGGAGTAGGGAGTCTATTGTCTATGCATGAGCAACAAGCCAATACCAGGTCAGGTAGTGTACAACAGCAGCAAAACATGTATTTGAGCTACTTAAATATGAATCTATGAAACAATGTGTCAAACACAAGCCCCAATCTTATCTATAAAAGAATCCATCCAGTAAGACCCCACATAACTCTTTAATTAACCTTCAAAGCTAAGAAAGTTGTGTTTCTGAAAAAGTCAGGCACGTCCATTCTGCTCAACAGACAACAGTTATTCAGCTCCACCTCCGGTTCTCTTTCAGAGACCCCTCCTCCTCCTCTTGCTCTGTGCATCCGTAGCACCCTTAGGTCCCTCTCTGTAGCACATATTAGAATAGGCAAGTTCAAAAGACAATGACCTTTCCTGAAAGTTTCCTCTGAATAGTCTCCCTCTAGCACGGATGTCGTAGCAGGGAGGATCACATCTTCCTAGTTTCCGAGGCAGTGAGAGCAGCTGACCTTGGAAGTCCCCTCCAACGCCATACCCCAGGACTCAATCTTCACTGAGTGTGACCCAGAGCCAACACTCAAACAGATGAATGAGTGACAACAGTGATGACTTACCTTCTACGAATCCCTCCATTGTCCACATATTTGCCGATCACAGAGCCAGATCTCTGCTTCCAGCTTGCCTTGGAAGCAGCTGTGTTTGCCTTGGCTGCCTTATCTTTCTGCAGAAACACAGAATGCCCTCATATGCATGCCTGAGAATTGGCCCCAATGTCTGAGAAGAAAAGAACTCAGCATTCCTGCTTCTGGGAGGAAAGCTATATCAAGACTCTGAAGTAAGCCAGTAGGGTGCTAGTCTCCCTATTACCACTCACCCACTCTCCCCTTTGGGTACCACCCAAATACTCCATCTTGTTTCTAAAAACTGAATCCAAGGAACAAATACCCAGTGTGGAACCTGGATCTGCCATGTTATTCTTCTTAGCAGCACTAATAGTTTGCAAGAGGACAAATAGGAGATAGCTGTTTCATGCATAAGAAAGGGGCATTGAAAGCTTCTGCATATTTGAAATCACACTTGTCTGTATGGCTCTAATCTCACTTTATTTCCAAATCTCCAGATATAATAAGAAAAGGAACAGCCCAGAGTGCCAAGTAAACCAGTGCCTTGTCCATCTCATATGCTACTGCAAGATTTTCAGATCTTTGGGGAGGTAGACTTGGTGTGTACATAAGTGGCTCCAGTATCTGTGGATCAGGTCCTCACAACTCCTCTATCAAGGCTTCCTAACAGATGTCCTCCAAGAGAGCAGAGAGTCAGAACTCAGGAAGAATCTCTCATTAGTCTCCCCGCCCACGTGGTTCACCATGATCCTTAATGGGGCGGGGGGGGGGGAGGAATTGCCACACTCCTGGGACCCCTTATAGGTATGGCTTTAATGATTCTAGATGAATCTTTAATTATATCCTAAATCAACATGACTTTATCCCTCTTTCTTCAGTCCTCACTGGGGTTCTTCATTTTCTCTCTCTTTCAAAGCAGAATGAGTTTGGCAGGTGAAAGGAAGTGGGGTGAAGGGATTAGGATGACATTTGGTTGGAAGTTAAAAGATACCCAGTGTTACATCTAAAACAATTATCACCATTAGCATCATCAAACAAACACATGTAGGCTTAAGTCTTGCTCGGATGGTGCACATGGTTGGGCATCAGAAACGTTAGTCATCGATGATAATATCAAAGGCAGGGAGTGTGACAGGTCTCCCAGGTACTGATGGTTTAAACTAGGTCAGGCCCAAGTCAGGGCAACCTAGCTGCCTTATGCCAGCCACATTTAGGCTACTATTCCGACAAGGGTGCAGTACACATCACTCTCTTCACAATAGCTTTTCTCTTAAATCCCTATATTATGGCTACAAAGGATCCCCTTTCCTCATGTAGCGGCAGGGATCATGGTCCCAAGTGATGATGACATGTCCAGGGACACAACCACAACTCATGGTGTGATAACCTTACAATTAGGAAGCCACACCAATCCATCCTACCCCCATTTTTCTTTCTTCAGAGCACCCAGTTGGTCCTAGTAAAGAAGAAGATGAGCAGAAAAATGTGGAGTCCTAGATTTTGTCACCATGGCCCACTGTGAAGATATCTAAATAGATAAAACCTTTCCAGCTACTTGGAGAAGTAAATAGTGATGGTGCTAGGGTACAGAAGAGGGAGAGCTCCTATAAAATAGGAAAAATTTACATAAAATCAATTATGTAAACAGCTATAGACACATTTTTAACTTGTCCTTTGACTGTGTAAAACTTTAAATGAAAACTGAGCATTTTGGTTTAAAAGTTATAGCAGCATTTCAACTGCACCATCTCACAGATGGAGATGTTATCTCTGCAGCCAAGAAAGGGGCAGCTCTCCCAAGGGGGTTCCTCCTTCTATGCCCAGAGGAAAGTGTTACTTCATGGAAATCCACTCAGGTCACCACTTGCCAGGCCACTTGGCTTTTATATCATTTTCCAAACATCTGGCACCATCATCTTGCATCCACATTAGATCTAACACATCCCAAGTATCAATCCCAAGTGACAATCTTGGGTCAGCCTGACACAGATCAGGCTGCCCTTAGATCACTGTCCTTGTCTCCCACTGCCCCCACCCAAAAGGAAGCACAGGTCACTGACCTGAAAGCTTATGTCCCGTTCATCCCGGAGATGTTTGTTCCTCTCCCTGTGGACAGAAAAGGAGAAGCTATTCAAACACAACGTCACAGATCCAGCAGTCATCATTTTACTCGTCAAATCGGTACATGGCCAAGTGGAGTGTGGAAGGACCCACCAGTGCATGGAATCTCTTCCCTTAGGGAAGTGATTAACCACTGAGGATAGTTTGTAAATCAGCAGAGGCAGGAAGTTACCTATATCCTCACAAGCTCATGCATAGCACTCGTCACTAGGGGGCAAGCTCTCCTACACCAGGCTTGCTGTGAAGCCCCCTCTTCCTAAGTGATTCTTCAAGCATGCATGCAGGCTCTATTCAAAGGGCTGAGTACTTGCCAGGCTCTTGGGGATGCACTTATGAACAAAGTACAAAGGCCAAGCTTGCCTCAGGATGTTAGCAGGGGATCATTGCTTCAGAAAACATAAAGCAGGAACGTGGAAGAAGAGAACCAGAGCGTTGCATGGTACTTCCATTACCATGACCAGGAAAGGCTTTGCTGATGAGCAGAGACTGAAGGAGGAGAAAACAGTTAGGCAGGTATCTGGGGGAGAGCAGTCCAGACAGGAGAGAGCAAGGCAGGGCTTAGACTGGAGCATATCTGGTGTGCCTGAGAAATAGGAAGTGTATAGGGTACTCAAGGGGAGAGGAATTAAGAGGTCAGAGAAAATAAGGGTGGGGGGCACCTTCCCACGTGCCACCTCCTGGATCACCTGAAGAATGTTGATTTTCATTCTGAATGGTATATGAAACCTCGGGGTAGAGAGGAGTGGATTGCAGAGAGCATCATGATCTGACTCTGGCTTCGAAAGGAGGCCCCTGGATGCTGCACTAAGAAGTGACTTTGGGGATAAAGAGTGGGCCCTGAGAATGGACTGGCAACTTTAACGAGGTGGAGGTCACGGGTGAGTGGACAAGTGTTGCAGTGGGACAGCAGAGAAAGGACATTGTTATAGATTAAAAACTGGTAGTCAACACCAGTGCAATTAAATCATGGTGGTGCTGAGCATAGATGTTCCACCTGAGGAAAGTTACCAGCAGAAATAGAGGTGTGGAGAAAGGCGTTGAGGTGTTGAGGTGGTGAGGCATTGTGGGTTCACCCGTATGTTGCTGTTTGAGCTGTTTGGTCTGGAGCTGCTGGACTGGAGAAGCTCTGGTCCTCACATCGAGCTTTGTTTCTTGGCTCTGGAGGGGAAGACGTGTGCTGCTTTATCCTTCTATGGATAGGATGAACTCGACACGCTGGTTTCCTGGCTTGTACTCGACTGTGTTTATTGTTCAGAGGAGCTCAGCGCCTTCATGTCAGAGCTTCGTAGCTGCGGTGCTTTTCGGGACAGCCCTGGTCTTTGTTTTGAGTGTGACTTCTGGGCTCCAGCATAGAACCCTCAACCTACCAGCACAGCTCCTTCACCCTGCTAGCACTTTCTAGCTTCCACTGCTGACCTTTGGGCCTTCCCAGCACAGATCCATAAAAGAGTCTGGTGTGAGTCCTTCTTGTGGGCTCTAGACTCCAGTTGGACTTGTGAGAAGCATTGTAATGAGCGCTGGGTCTTCATCTGGACTCGTACAGGACGTTGCTGTGGGATTCAGGCCCTTGACTGAATATTCTATGTCTTTAGTGTTGTGGATAGATTTCCTGCATTTTCTTGCATTAATTCTGGGTGATCATCATAAAATAATATAAATTCCATGTCCTGACTAATTGTTCTCCTCACAACCCCTGACTACAACAGACACGGAGACAGAGAAGGTAAATGACTCTTTTCGAAATTTTCTTATCAAGCAATGGAAGAAATACAGAGCAGCTAGATGGAGAAGTGAAGGCAACAGGGATCAGGTCTAAAATATTACAGTGTGTTTGTGGGAACCTCTAACAGAGAGGGAATGGACAGTGGAGGAGAGTGACCCCTCAGCAGGCAAGAGGGCAGATCGATTCCAGAGCCAGGCAAAGGGGTGAGGTGGGGTGGCCTTCACTCCCCCACAGCACAGAAGGTGGCCCAGGTGGGCAGAGGGCAAACTCCTGTGTGCAACTTCCGGTGGGAGTCTAAGTAGGAGGGCAGAAAGGGGCTAGAGGCCTAATGGCATTGTGGAGCGGGGAGTGAGAAGGCCTGGGGCGTGGTGTGACTGCAGGATGCACTGGACTGTAATAGCTGAGACTCTTCCCTTTAACACAAGAGTGCAAAAGACCACAAAGTACGGACGGAAGTTATGTGATTTGATGACTCTTCAGATCATGGCTTCTGAACCAAGCCACACTTTTGAAGAGAAAGGCAGGTTTAGCAGAGGCCAAGCCCTGGTCATAATGCAATCACTTACTGGGAATTCCTGGGGCCAGGAATTTGCCCTGTGCATTATATGTTATAAGACTAGCGTTAGGCAGGCCTCAGGGATGAAAATCAGGGTGAGTCTGAGGCTTTGAGGTGTTCTGTAAGCCTGGAATAGTGGAGGAAGAGCCACGCATAGAAGGAACCTACTCTGTGCAAGGGGGAAGTCAGCAGCCTCATTCCCAGGTGAAGACTTTGGTACCTGGATGTCTCCTTTTGATGGGAGGGTACTGTACTATTTTCGGTCTCAGGCAGTCATGCAGAAACTACAGCATTTAAAGAAATGCAACACGTCCCTCCGTTTACCACATCATGGTCTGCACATCAGGAAATTCAGATGCCAGCTGGTCACATCATCTGCCCAGGATCACATCAGACCATGAGAATTTCGAACCAGATCCAGGGGAGGCTGCTTTTGACCTGGTACTGTCACTGATATCAGACACAGTGATGTGGCCTTGTTGTCATAAAACCTCCAAACTCCAAAGCACCCCTACAAAAGTGATTTGAATTACCTGAACCCAGAAGTTTCTGTCCCATAATCAGTGGAGGCCAGGACAGCTGCAACGCACCAATCACAGCACAAGACCAAAAACTCCACTCTTCCCAACACAGGCTCACTTGATTTTGAGGGGCACCTTCCAGACCAGTGAACTTTGAATTTATTTCAGTGAGCTTTAGAAGTCTAAGGAAACTCCTTTCCTTTGCTGTTTGCTGTCTGAGACTTGTTTACTCATCCGGAAAACAGCAGTGGAATATAGCTGAGTACAAAGAAGAGCCAGCTATGGATTTCAATCCTGGCTCATCAGTGAGGAGCTTCATGGCTTGTAACAATTGGCTTCCTTCTCAGTTATTTCCTCTCCTAACAGTCACTTTATTTACCTAGTAGTTTGGCAGAAGACAAGGGAGATAGATAATTCAACTGGCATACAGTAGATGCCCAATAAATTGAGTCGCACCCCTACCTGAATAGGTACCATGCAAGACACCAAGAATGAGGCAGAACTGTGCAGAGTACCAACTGTAGAGATGTGGGCATGTGTGTAAATGTACCAATCAACCAAGGGAGTGGTGCTCATTGGTTTAACTGCACAGTGGGGACCAGCGGAGTGAGGGTGCTCCTCTAGACTTCTAACCTAGGCGTTTTGGATGTGTTCTGACCCACCTTAGGAAATCCAGCTGCTTCAGAAGCCCCAACTTCTCTCGCTGCAGACTCTCGGTCACACGATACACCTCCCTGGGAACAGCAGACAGAGTGATGATCAGGGCATGGGGAAGAAAGGGCCGGCTGCAGGGGGCGAGGGAGTCGAGAGTGTAGTGCTGGCTTGTGATGGTCATCTCTGAGTCATCACACACGTCTGTCTGAAAGGGAGATGGCCCCACTGTGTGAACCCAGACAGGAAGCTTGGTGACATAGATACCCCACGACTGAGTCTAAGGCCTCTCTAGACCTCAGCTTCTAGAGCCTGCTTGTTCCATAGCCACTTCCCATGGCATGTGGCTGGGGGTCCTGGTATGGTTGCCCCAGGAGAGAAATAAACAGTTTTCTGCAGCCTGGTCTCATCAACATCTCTCCCTGCACATACCTGACACTGAGTTAGTTCGCTTTCAGGTGATCTGGAGGAATCACTTTCCCTTCCTGACTTTCCCTCAAAGTCCCTAGACTATTCCTAGATAGCTGGAATTTTCCACTGTTGGGCATTCATATCTTTGACAGAATTTCTTGTCTCTGACTCTCATGCACAGAGTGAGTGTATCAACTGCAATCAATCATAGAGTGACCCGGGGGACCCAGCAGGACTAAAGGTCCCCCGTGGCTGGGAGCAGTGCTGTGTTCTGCCCTTCAACACCACACCTGGCACAGAGGCCTCCCAAACTGCAAAAGAAGAAAAGGAGAAAGGGAGGGAGGAAAGAAGGGGCTAGAGAGAGGAAAAGAGGAATGGAAGAAGGACAGAGGGCGAGGCAGGGAGGGAGGGAGACAGGAGGAGAACACTGGGGCAAGGTGGTGGGGCTTCAGGGGAAGGAAGGGGAAAAGCAAGCGGACCCAGGCAGTGGGAGGCCTGCTCTACTCCACACTTTTGCCTCTTTCATTGCTGTGCTCTGAACCTCAGTCTAGAAACGCCCATGTCATCCATGTCGCTCTCAGTCATATTGCAGAGGGGCTGCAGTCCAGCCCTTAGCTTGGGGAGCACACACAGGCAGGTTGGGGGCTGCCTGCCGCTGTCAGGGCCACAGCCCGCAAGGGGTTCCCTCAGACATCCATCTATCCCCCTGCTCAGGGGGTGCCAGCCGCAGCAGGAGCCAGGGTCCAGGCCTCTGTGAGAAAAACAACTCCTTCTGAGGTTTCTGTGCTCGTCTCTCCTTCCTCTTTACAGAATAATAATCATGCGTTTGCCGCAGGACAAGAACAGGCTGAATCAAATCCTGAGCTTACCTCAGACAATCCTAACAAAGCCACAGTGCTTCCCTGGTGCCCTCCTGCAGAGCTGTGGGTTCCTCACATTTTATTACCAATTATATTTAATTTCAACTTAAGGGAAAACAATGTATTTCTCATTATCCAAGTGGGTCCCTGAGTCCTTGTCTGGGACTCAGTTCTGATCAGCACACCATGTACCCAGTCGCCTACTCTTTCCCATGCAGGGTGCTGCAGCCTGGAGCCCAGCCTGGCTCAACAGCTTTTACCCTGCACAGAAAGAGTCATTCAGTGCACAGCCAAGGGCTGCGTTCTCAGTGTGGAATGAAAATCCAATTCCTAAATCACAGGTCTTTAGGACTCCTCTATCCTATCTGCCAGCTGGAGCCTTAAGACTTATATGCATGACATTCACATGCAGATACACCTATATCTACTCTTCTGGTGAACATGCATCTATTCAGACACATACGGATTGCTGTTAACAAAACGAAAGGCTCCCTTGATTAACTGCCCTTAAATGTGCTCTAACCTAGAGGTTCTAACAGTGTATTCCTAGGTAAAATGCAAATTGCAAAGGAAAGAACCTGTGGGTTTTTCTTGTAGTCCTTGACAAGAGGTTTATGGCTCCCTTTAAGGAAGGGCTGTTGGGTTTGTTTTTAGGAAAAGATGTAAAAAATATATTGTAAAGTAAAAAGCACAAGGCCAAAGTCAAACAGAATACTTGCTCTGCTACTGTTTTGTAAAGAAGTGTGTGTGTGTGTGTGTGTGTGTGTGTGTGCATGCTGCACTGAGTATGCTCTGAGACACTGTGTGACAGGAGACCGAAGTCATGAGTGGGGCAGACCATTTCTCAAACATTTATCTTACTGTCCCTGTCGTAAATCACTGACTCAAAAATAAAAGTTAATTAAAAACAGAGCGGTGCTGCTTTTCCCTGACCTGCATCTTTTTATTATCTCTGTTTGCAGGTTCTTTCTTCATCTCATTTGAAGATCTAGTACTCCTACTTTGAGCACCCTCAGATGACAGAAAAATTAATTTTGCCCATCCAGAGTTCTTGCTGATAAATGACTGAGTCTGTTTATTTCTTATCCACCTCCCCTCTCTCAGATGCTCTGGAGAAGCTCAGATGGTACCATCAGGGGACAGAGAGGCATAGAGGGAACCAGTCTGTCCCAAACTTCTGGAAGGAACTTGCTGTGTGGCTTTGAGTCAGTCACTACACACCTCTGAGCCTCAGTTTCTCCATGGATAAAATGAAGGCAGCAGATTGAATATTCAAACCCAGTAGAGTGGCTCTGTGATTCCATTCTGTGGGGAACAAGTCAGGGCCCTGCTGTCACTCTGTCCAAGCTTCCCTGAGTAGGATACATTCTCCTGGGCCATCATGGCTTTCAGATACACGGGATGTTCTGATCTCCTTGAAAAATGCATGGTGACTTTGTGGATTCTACTCCCGCCCTGCCACCCTCTGGAGACTGCAGCTCTGGCTCGGTTAATTAAGACGAGACTTCAGAAGGCTGCGTCCTCACACTGAGCTCCAGCTCTCCAGTGCTGTTTACTCCTGTTACTCTTCTAATTCTTCTGCATTTAGATATTTGCTGCTTTAAGAAGTTGATTGAATTTAAAGAGCTGGAATCCTTAATTCTGTTCATAAAGTTAAGTGCTTACCCTGTGTTGCTCTGCTGTCAATGAGGAGGAACTGATTTTGCTTGTTCACTGTGAAATACACAGTCTTTCTACAATTGGCCGTCCAATAATTGGGACAGAAGGATCTGATTTTGCTTGAGGAGCTATCTTACTGGGATCAAGTTCTCAGTCTGAAAACATTTCCTCTCCATACATGAACACAACTGGCAGACAAGCTGGATTAGACCTGTGCACCCCGGTGTTGCCAGCAGTCAGATAGAATGGGGATTTTCACTCCTAAATGAAGACACTTAAAACATGCAGAGCACTGAGCTCTGGAAAGTGCTGCAGCCCACTACACTGCAGTTAGATGGTCTGCACCCAGGTTCCTTTCAAGAACAGCCACACAATGACCTTTGCAGAAGAAACAAGTGCACCTGTGGAGCAAGGAACAGAGAGTGAAGACTGATCCAGCTGGCTCATTAGTCTCTGGGGTGCCACCAAGCATTTAACATCCTGGGGTGTTACTCAAAACTTCTGAACCTCAGTTTCCTCTCCTGTAAATCAAAGTTGAGAATACAGTGGCAGCTGTATGGTCATATGGGAGACTGCTGAATTACAAACTGAAGTGAAACACAGTCAGGTCCAATGTGGTGCCAAGTGTGGAATGATTTGCAATAGCCATACACAGATAATTAAGTGGTCAAACTGTCACATTTCTCTGCCCTGAGCTTTACAGTGCAAGCCTCTTGCTCCCCAAAAAAGAAAACTGGCTGATTCCTGCTCTGGTGGACCTCTGCCCAGCCAGATGGCCAGGCCTAGTGTCCAGATCCTTACAACACCCTTCACTGGCAAATCAGCCCTGAGAAACATGTGGTTCACTGTAACCTGGGCTCAAAAAGTCTAAGAAGAAAACATTGCTGGATAAGTGCAAGAGAGCTGCAGTGATGATTCCAGAGTCCTGCCATTAACCTGCCTGCTGATGGACAACACATTTTTTAAAGCATGTTATAAACTTCTCAAGGCCAGAGTTATCTAGTTCTTGTCACCTCCAGGCCATTGGTTGCTCAGTGACCTTAGAATCTAGAAGAGTGTTGGTTAGAAGAAACCCTACGGAGCAACAGGCCAAAATTCTTGTTTCACAGGCCAGTGGAGGGTGTATGAGAGCAGACAGTGCCCACAACTGGAGGCAGGGAGGAGAACGGGCCAGACTCACATCTCCTTCTCCTGGTACAGCTTGCAGGCTTCTTGTTGCAGGCTCTCCAGCTGCTGCTGAGCATCCTGCAGCTCCCTCGAGGTGCGCTCCAACTCCTGAGCCAGCTCCTGGTTTGTGAGCTTCAACTTGGTGTTCTCAGTCTTGGTCTCATGCTTGTCATTGTGTAGTGCCATGCACTGCCCCTCCAGCTGGAAAGCAACAGGGAGAAGAGAGGAGTGATCACCATGGACTGGCAGGCTGGCTGGCCTGGCATCTCCTTGCTCTCCCTGTGGAAGGGTGGGACTGTCACTGACCTCAAGCCAAAAGCAGATCTCCTCGAACACCCCAACACCCAGCAGGCAGAGCAGAGCATTCAGGGCTCATGTCTCCTGCCTCTGCCTAGGACCTCTGCTGTACAGGTCAAGGGAGCTGCCCCACTCCACAGGTTCACAAGGCTGGGTGCAGCTCAGTGACAGAGCCCTGATAACTTGTGCCAAGTCACAGGTTCCATCCCCAGAATTGCAAACAAACAAAAACATAACTAGCAAAGAAAATTCCATAATCCACTTGCATCTCTCACCCTGAAGTCAGAGTGCCTTGAGAACTACTCTCCACTTCTTTTATACTCTGAGCCAATTTCTTTCCCTCTATCCTTGATGGGGACAGAGAACAGCTAAGTGGCATTTTTCATGAAGACATCCTTTCCAACTGTGGATGCTGAGAGCGACTTTATTTCCTTACCTTCTCTCAGATAAATAAGTTCAATTTCTTTAATCTTAAAAAAAATCTTTTTATGGCAGCCAAAAGCCCTGTAAATTCTTAGGGAATAACTAAAGTTGTTCAAACAAGCCCTAAACATTTTCTCATGTCCCCAAAGCAACTTTAAACCCATAGCCGCAGCTTTCTCTTGTGATGGCACTTTACAGATCTTCCAGTCCTCTCACTAGAAGAACCACACCAAGGCAAACAGAGCATAATAAATTTCATTTAATGAATGTGGCCAGGCAGGGAAGGAGAAAGCAACAACAATGAATTTCATGTGGCTCTCAAGAGGCCCCTGTGTAATCAGGCAAGCGTGCAGTAATTAAATCGAGTGGCAATCATTCATATGAGGGATAAATCTAATTGCTAAGAATTTAGTGCATAATAGTGAGAAGGCGAGAAGAAGAGAGGTGCGAATGTGGATTAGAAACAGGAAGGTAGCTAGTAGATTCTGCAGTTGACACTGCCTAGTCTAGAAAAAGGAGACCTGAAATCCCAAGCCTGGGTAGCAGCTGCAGGAGCAGCAGAAGCAGCAGAAGCAGCAGCAGCAGCGGTGGCAGCAGTAGCAGGACAGTCCCCAGTCATAACTGAGGTCTCTTCAAGCTTATTTTAATATGCTGCTAAAAATAATGCTCTCTATTCCCAAGGAAGCAACGTGTCTGCGGGGTTCTCCTAGAGCTGAGTGCCTCCCATAACCAGGTGGAAGGATGCAGGAGGTGATCCCCTTGCCCATCCCACCCCGTGACCTGGCTTTAGAGAGAAGACCCCTGGGCATGACACTTGCCTATCTCATCAGCCAGGTGTCCCCAGCCACAGAGACACTGCCTGCATCTTCAGACTATCCCTGGAAGCTCAGGCAGTTAGTAAAGGGTGTTGAGTCTGCACCCATCCTGGTATTATGGGGACCAGCACGAAGTGGCCCAGTGAATCTCATCCAAACCTGTGGCAGACAGGGGAGGGATATGCCTACTTTTGAGAAGTGCTTTCCATCTGGATGGTCCCTGGCCCTCCAAATGCCAGAGCATCCCTATGCCGCTGAGTTTCCCTCTGTTCTCACACAGGCTCCCAGAATCAGGTTCCATTTCAGGCATTCCCATGGTCCCTGGGCATAACTATGAAAATACCTGAGAGCCTTCATGGGGAAGTCAATGGTGACCTTCCAAGTTAAATATCTGGAAATGGAGAAGTTGTTTTTTTCCTGGAGAACACAGGTGACCTTAAATACTACTTTGAAGGACTACATGGCGCTTTTCACAGTAAACAAAAAGTTTTGTGAATATAAGGGACAAGAGTCAGAGACACAGGGGAAAGGAAGAGCCAGGAGCTCTGAGGACAATGAAACCTACCCTTTTCTGCTGCTGGTTGAGTCGTTCCAGCTCTTGCTCCTTGGCAAACAGTTTCTTCTCCAGCTCCTGACTGCGGGCCTGGAACCTCTCTGTGTCCTGCCAAGTGGGCAAGAGGGAACACATGGGGCCTAAGACAGACTCATGAGCAGGTGCTTGGCCTTTGGTGCTGTGACCCTTCCCACCTCACACCAGGGTCTGGCACCTACCCGCCCACCCGTGAGGTCCTGTGGGTATGGTGTGAGGCCCAGGGAGGCACTGTACTGCTCCACCAGCACGCTTGTTCCACTGCTGTGCCCGACACCCCACCACCCCCACCACAGAAACAACCCATGGTCAGTGTGGAATTCAGAGCAGGGAGGACAGAGGTCTCAGCTTGTCTCTAAACAGGCGGGTGGAGAGGAAGGTAGATGAACAGGCTAGATCCCTGAAACTGTTCCTCTACTGCAAGCACAGAGGCACAGCCCTGATGAAGAGGGTTGGCTACTCCAGTTCTCCACTGTGACGGCCACCTCTGATGTCTGTGCCTCTACTCACAAAACCTTCTCTCCTTCTGTCTTTCATTGGACTTCTCCACTCTGAGATGCTGAGGCCTAAAGGTGCAAGCGTGAGGCACAGGCTGTGAGACACAGGGAAGCACTGTGGGAGTCCTGCCTGGTGGAAGGGCCCAGAGCTGGCATCAGGAGACATGGGCTCCAGACCCTGCCTTATCCAGTTGAGTTGCTTCTAGATCATTCACAGACCAAAATCAAAAATCCTCAGGTTAGGATATGGCTCAGTGGTGGGACACTTACCTGACACAGGCAGGGCCCTTGGTTCCATGCCTAGACCCCCAAAAGAACAAAAAGAAAAAAACGCTTGGGCCCTCTGCAGCCTTCACTTGTCAGAGGTAGAACAGACATATGAAGTATGCAGGGAGAGAAAAACTTTAAGTCTCCTATTTCTCCCTGCTGGAGAGCCCTAGAAGTCCCCATGATAGGGAAAGACCCCTTTCCAAGGATAGGTATGAGATGCTAACTTGGGTGGGGTGGCTGGGGGGGGCCCTAGCTGGAAGGTTGGAATGATGGCTGGCAGCGGTAAAGTGGTAAAGCGTTACTGTTCTAGGCTTATAAGCCTTTGGACACCTGTGAGGTTTCCTTGGGTCTTCATCTAGAGATATCACCTGATTCCTGCAGGGTTACGGGGACCAACAGCCTGCGACCATCCTTCCTCATTTATAATAACCAGGTGATGGTGCAGGTGGCACCTGATCAGACAGCTGCTGCTCCAACCACTATTTCTGGAGAATCAGCACCAGGAAACCTGCCACGTTCTGCTTGGCTGCTTCTCATGGAGCAGGTATTCCACAGGCAATGCTGGGACAGCAAGAGGCCAGGGTTCCCTCATGAGCACTGATTTCCCTACACTGTACAGAGTATTAACCCCATCCCACAGCAGAGCACTGAACTGGACTTCCACCTCGATTCTAGGGTACAAATGATTGAGTATCTCCTTCATGGTCAAACACACTACTAAGTGTAAAACAAGGATCCAAACCCGGGTCAGAAGGTCCAGTCTTTTCCAGGGTTCCATAACACTGGATAGTTCCATGGCACTATCCCTTCTCTGTGACCAGGACTGCTGGCACTGCCAAAGATACCTTAAGAGCTTCAATGCTTGAGCCAAAACCATAAGCCTAAGTACTGACCTCTCTGGGCATCTGGTGTGAAGCAGAAGAGACAGTTGAGAGCCGTAGCATCATAGCCAGCCCATCCTAAGGGCTACTAATCTGCTCCTGAAAGTTGTCCTCTGATCACCACCCACTGCCAGCCTCTGTGAAAGCTTGTTTTTGACCTGTAATCATTGCCCCACACAGACAGGGCAAAATGTCCCCCAGAGTCTGTCCCTTCTGCAGAGTGTCATTTGGGATGCTGGGGAGGCTTCTCATCACGGGGTGGAATCTGCTGCTGTTGTAAACTGTAGTAGGTCTGCTGCTGCAAGGTGTGAGCTCTGTCTGCTGTATGCACACCCCTCCTTCCTCCTGCTGAAGGGCGGGGGATACAGAAGGACTCAGAGCTCTCAAAGAACATGGGCGGGCTCGAAATGCTGACAAGCTTCAGTGGTTCTGGGTGAGGAACATGGCCAGATTTTTCCAATTCCCTCTCTGTTTGAGTGACATCTGCAATACTAAATGTAGCTGAGGTGTGGATAATCCAAAGGAACATGTGACTAAAACTTGGTTCAGGGAAGGGGCTGGGACCACACTCCAGGGTTAGTCATGAGAGCAGAGGGGGCTGCTGGTCAAGCTCAAGTGTTTCTGCTGAGAACTCACTAAGTGAAGAGTTCAAGGATGGATAACAGAATATCCTATAGCTTTCTTTTTTTTTTTTAAATGAATATGTTTCCAAAAAAAAGACCCTATTTAGCTTGGCAGGGACAGAATTTCACTAGTCCTGACCTTAGGACAAATAGCAGGACTAGGAAAGGGGCTAAGAATGTGTCAGACTAGGAACAGGGAGGTGAACTTTATACTTTCTCCCATGGTATCTGGGCATGGTGGAGTTTGTTTTTCTTGGTGATGACATTTTCTAGGCATCTAAAGAGAAAAGATGGGCAGCCTTGGTGCTATTGAATGTCCCCTGGGGAGAGCTGCTAGACATGGTGTGAAATGGAGCTGATGTGTTTGGATGGATTTTTGATACAGATCTAGGTATCAGCCAGTGTCTGACTCAACCTCTAGGCTGCTTTACTCATAAAGCATGCACTGCATCCATCCATCCACTTGTGCATCATCAACTGATTGAACAAATATTTGTTGAACATCTGTCATATTCCAGTTATAGGTTTAGAAGCTGAGGATACATTAGTAAGTAAAAGATAAAAATCCTCACTTTTGTGGCAGCAGACAAGAATCAATAAAAATAAACTAGTACAACATATGTCATGTTCAAAGGTGACAAAAGTCTTGGAAAAATAATAAAGCAGAGAAAGAGAGAATCAATAGCACCATGGGACATGGCATTGTGACCTCACATTTGGGATATGTGGTCAGCATAGAAATGTCAGCCCAGCTAGCCCTTGGAGCCAAACCCAGAGGGTGCACACTCACTTTCAGGAGAAACTGCTCCCTCTCACTTTTGATTTGTTGTTCCATCTCCTCATAAAGATGCTGGATTTCTTCATCATAAGCAGCAATTTTCCTACAGAGATGGCAAAAGAAGGGTATGATGGGGTCTTCACTGAGGTCCCCCCCACTCCATTCTCCCATGGCAGTTCTGGGGGTTACTGTATAGATCAGATCAGCCAAGGCTGCACATCCATCTCTCAGCACTGGTGAACTGGGCCAGACATGCAGAGCCCAGCTGTATACACCCCAGCTGTTGGTAGGTCTCCTGCAGCCACACCTAGCCCATCACCACCCCCATACTCATCTGTCCTGCACACTCCTTGGGGCAGCTACCTTGGACACACCTTCCTCACCCTGTGCTATTTCAACACTAGGCCTTTGTCTTTGCTAGACTTACTGCTCCTGCTCCCACTAATCTCCATGTTCATAGACAGCCTGAAGTCAAGTTGGGTGCATTTCTTTCCTGCTCAGCATCTTAGCTAATGTCATTTCTGGCTGGGAAGCTGTCTCCATCTGTCTACACGGGCACTCTCTGACACTGTGCCATCACAGAACACTTAAAAATGTGATCTTAAGTCTGGGTGTTCATTTTTCTCATAAGAGTCTCAGAAGATCCCTTGATGATGACAACAATCTTCACACCCTGTATACAGAGGTATGCATGTCTTCCTTGGGATAACAATTTTCTGTACCCCTTTCTCTCACAATTAGTACTGTCCTTCTAATGCTCCTCCAAATTCAAACAGGAAGGACTTGACCTTAGTGTGTGACCTGAAGCTGGATGTTATTAAATGGTATATCACTAATTCCAAGAAATTGCCTATGTACATCTTTACTCTGACCATACAATGGGAGACCCTCTCTTTGGCCTTCAATCCCTGTCTTCTCCATGTCCTGTTAAAAGAACTCCAGATCTGTGAACAGGCTGATATTATTACAGCTCTACATGCCTGTTTGAATGTGTAACCTGCCATTCTAAACTCCCTTTTATTCAAGAGACTTCAATTCTTGCAGCAATGGCTCTGGTTCTTAGTTCTAGGAGATGCCGTGGAGATTTCTGAGCAAATCAAAGGTTGGGCTGCAGTTTTTCTTCTGAGCCCTCCATCAGTTTACCCATTCCTCCCATGGTCACTTAGGTGTTCCATTTCCAAGGCAGGTCCTTCCTGCTGTCCAAGGCTTTACCATAGCCCAGTTGCAGTCCCCTTCTCATGTGCCACTAGCATGCTATGCTTGTACCCTGGGTACAGACTCAGTAATGAACATTGAGACATCTCAGTGTCATCTTTCTGGTTCTACAGCAACTAGAGATTGGACCTATACAAAGGAAATGGGTGAGAGTCTAAGGTCAGGGTCATTCACAATGACTAGATGCTGAGTTCACATCATTGGCTGTGCCCTCAAAAAGATTGGCTTTCAGCAATTGTATGACAATGGTTTCAGGATGTGCCTAGCAGAAGATAACAGTACTCAAGAAGAGATGATAGTCCTCCAGGAGTTCCACCAGCTGGGGCCTGGCCTTTAGGAAGTTGTTCTCTGTCCCTGGTGTAACAAGTATCTTTGGCCAAGAGTAAGACATCTCTTCTTGGTGAATGATAGATGATTGAGGTTGCTATTTTTGCTCTCAAGTAAGGTATAAAATTGAAAAAAAACCTGAGAAGGAAAGGCCCATGCTATTAGATAGTGAAGTTGGAAGTAGATACAATTTGAAGGAACTTTTAGAAAGCGAGATGGCTTCTTCCTGGCCCCTGGAATTATCTTTCTGTGTTTAAAGAAACACAGATGCTAGGTGGCAAGTGGTTATTGTAATTCAAATACTGTAATCCTTTCTTCTGTCTACCTCATAGTCTGGAAAGCTTATATTTGTAATCCCATTGAAATGTTATGGGAATCCTGGCAAGTTAATTCCAATCAGCCACCTCTGGTATAAGCCATGGCAAAAATAAAGACACTAAGACATGTTCTAGTTACAGGTAGCCAAAGGGTCCTAAGTCTGACCCAGGTGAGAATTCACAGGACAAAGGCCTTGACCCCAGGGCCTGACCCAGAATTTATTCACTTGTGAAGAAGGGAGTGGCTTGAGGATGAGTGGCAGTGGCAATGGCAGAAATTACGTGAGGCTGTGGGTTAGGCTTAGGTAGAAGGCCAGAAAGCATCTCTACAATACGCAGAGAGAACAGTATGCAGAAAGACCAATGTGCATAACTCAACTGGGATAGCATTTAAATGTGCAGGAGACTATTGCTTCAGTTTCTGATATGTAAACTTTTGTGTCCTGGCAAATCATAGCCTCTCATTTTGAGGCTCAAACCCAGTTGACATTCCTGGAGCTATGTGGCTCTGCCATTCCACTGTGCTCAACTGTTTACAGGGAGGCACGAGGTAAGGAAATAGGAAACTGTCAGCTGGATTCAAAGATTATACACCAGTACCTCAGCGAGCCCTGTTAACATTGCTTAAAGAAGTTGAAGGGAGAAGGAAATAGCTTCCTTCAACTGTACATATCGGTGCATGGAAATAGTGCTTGGCTTAATTAATTTGGAAGTAATTGTTCTGCATTCAAGGAGAGCCATCCAAATGGTCTTCTACAAATGATATCAAGGAAAACTTTAGATAGGGATTCCAACAACACAAATACTAATATAGAACTACTGAAGTGAGTTGAGAGCAACTTAAAAATTGACTTGGCTCTGCTAAAGTAATACTAATTATAGTCGGTCATATAAACAGTTTACATGTATGCCTAATAACCAGGCAGGGCATTAATTTTATGATATTATTAAATCTAAAATATTAATTTTGCTCTAAGTTTTACTTGATTAAATTAATACTCTCTTTTTCATGCTCACATGCCAGTTTGCTTGTTCTGAATTAAATTATTTTATAAACAACTTGAAGGAAGGTAGATACAGCCTCTGAAGGCTGCCATAAGGTAGCCCTTGCTCCCAAAGTGTGGGAAACTTCAGTGGGCATCAGTGATCCTGGGCCCAGCCAGTCTCATTCATATAGCCAGTCTTTGGAGAAGCCAGCCTTGTGAGAGTCTCTAGGCCTGAATAGCCTTGTAACAAGTCTGAGGTGGAATGTAGCAGTCTTGGGAATGGGGACCACTAAGATTCTTTTCTCATCAACAGCATTGTGAAGAGGGCCCAGGTTCAGAAGACTTATGTTCTGATCCCTGATCCCAGAACCAGTTCATTTCCTCAAGGTATCCTTCAGGAAATACTCTGACCTCTTCCCATCCTGGGATACTACTTCCCCCAAGTATTGTCAGGATGAGCAAATAGGTGAGTACATGTGACAAGTCTTCAGAACCATGAAGCCTGAAATAAATGTAAGGGATTGTTTATTCCTGTAATTATGATCACACACCTTGGAGGGCAGGGGCGATACTCTCTGAGAGGTGGAGGGTCTTAGCTTGAAGGATGAAAGGGCAGCTGTGGTTAGAAAGGCTCAGAGGCAATCAGAAAATGAAGAAAAAGCTGAGTCAATAAAAGCTCCTGTCAGAACAACCCATTAGCGACGCGAGCTGTGTGTGAGCAGGAACTGCAGAGCCAAAGCCTGTGTCTGCGGGGATCCGCAGTGGCTGTGAGAGTGGTAATGGTGAGAGGCATCTAAAAAGATCTGCACATATGGTGAGCTGCGTTCCAGCCAAGCACACCACATTCTACCCTCAAAGGAAAGAGACAATGCATCACGTCTGCTTATTACATGCATCTTTGTCACCATCATCTCTAAAACCACTCATATCACGTAATCACATAAACACACTCTACAGTCTCCTCTTTGAGGAGTCCCTCATCTTTTCCAACCCTTTGTCTAAACTCTTTCATACACTATATCTCCATTTGACTACTGTGCATTTAATTTCCAATAATCCTGAACTATTGGGGTTTCATCTGGGTTGGGGCTGTCTCTATTAGACTATGAATGCTCAGACTTTTATATCACCCACAGGGCCTGTGCTCAAAATGCTAATGAAGAGCTGTAACAACTCAATTTACAACTCCGTACCAAGCTCAGAAGCTTGTGGAATCATTTTGCAGGAACACTAGATTCCAGGAGAACAAAAGAATTTCAGGGTTGGAATGTCTGTTTGATTCATCCACTTCCTTTTTCCATAGTTACAATCTTTGCCTCAGTATCTGCATTGAGTATTTAACCAAACTGGGCTAGACCATCTCTGGTGACAGCAACTTGTTGTCTAAGCAGTACTTTTATCTGGGAATATTATGGCTCACAGAAATTTGTCTTACAATGACCTTATCCCTTGCTGTCTGACAGCTTTTCAAATATTTGAGAACAGCATCAAGTTCAAGGAGTTGCCTCAAGTTCAGGCCACGTTTCTCTACTTCATTTGATTTTGTCTCATACCAATTTTGTTTACTTATTTATTTTGTAAGTCTGTATGGTTTCCTTCACTTCTCTTTGAATGGGTCCGTATTATTTTTCCCAAGGCAAGGACCTGCAAACTGAATGCCCCCTGCACAACTCTGATTAGTACAGATCTGAGAGCCTCCTCTCCTGTTCTACGAGGTTCACATCCATTCATGCAGCCTAGAATCACAGGGACTCTTTTTGGCAGGCACATCATAGTTGATGAACGAGGAATACATTTGTCAAAGAAAACTTCTGAATCTTATTTCCGTGTGATCATTTTTGCTTTAAAGGTTGTGCCACTGACTCCTACCTCTCCTACTTTGGACTTCTGCTATTGCTTATTGAACACAGAAGAGAGTCTCAAATGTAACTCTGTTAGATTTCATATTTATTAGTCCCAGTGCATCTTTCCAGCTTGTTACTCTATACATGGATCCCAGGTGACCATACAGCACATTAAATGACCTTCTAAGTTTTACTGGTACTTCAAATTTAACATGCATGGAGAATTCAAACTAAATAATCTGTAGGTTAACTTTTATAATTTATCTGAGAATTATTTAGAGGAGTGTTTTTAAAATATAAAAATTGTTGCTTTCTAGTTTTATTGCATGACAGCAAGGGAATTCCTTTGGACTCTCTTACCCTCTTGTTCTGTAGCTAAAAACATCAGTTTTCTAACTTTTTTGAGAAAAATAC